CCATTTTTTTCAGAACGGTAAATCATCTATTTCGATTAGGGCCATCTATAGCATGATTAGCATGGCGAAGTGTTGGTCATAACCAGGTTGGGTATATGAATAGATACTACATAAATATGGTGATTTTGTTGGTTATAATAGGTTATAATCCCCAACTAACCATAATTATCCCCAACAAGATGCAAGTCATATATTCATCCGGCCCTTCGGCCACCGACTCGGCCACCGACTCGGCCAGGTCCGTGAGGGGAAACCCAGCGAAGAGGAGGCCGGGGCCGGGCCCGTTTCGGAGATCCAGCGGTCAATTGACCAATGGCATTGGGGTACCTGTGAGTCCATCCTGCGGAGATGATTGGTTTATATTGGTTTGATGATTTTGGAAGTGATCTATTCAACTGGTTTGATGCAACCTTCGTGTCATTTTTATGGGGAGAATGATCCCCATTGACGCACCTTTGTTCACTAGGGGTTTAGTGTTGGACATGTTTCAATTTTGATGCTGCCAGACCGATTTTTTCCACTTCGAAGCGAAGATAAAACACACCCGATCAACATATTTCATCAATTTTTCAGACTCCCAATGTCCAACCTTAGTTTTTCTCGATTTTGTTGGTTCCAGGCGATTTAATTTGGTTGCGTTGACAAAGTGTGGTATACCCAAAATAAATCAAAATAGCAGTTCAATTAGGGAAACATACTGTCTAGAACAATTGGATTTTGGTGGAAAAAACACCCAATATTCAATGGATTGGTTTAAGGGAAAATCTACCGGAAACCATGGTTTTTACCATCAAAACAGGGGTTTCCTGTAAATTTTACCATCATCCAATTCTATGAAATATGTTAAAGTAGTAAACATGATTTTCAAAAACCGCTGGATTTTGGAAGGAAAAAAACACTGGATTTGAGTAGAAAAGACATTTTTTTTCATCCGAACCCCTGTCAGGTGGTGGCCGCATTGACCATGGCCGCAAAGAAACGGCAAAAGGTCAATGAACGGCTGGAAGCAGGTCTCAAGGCCAACGAGCGCCTGCATTGTTTCACGAGTTTCCCATATATTTATGCAACATGTGGTGTTTAGCCGTGAAACTTATTGTGATTTTACAGGATTTTACAACATTTCACATATTTCACATACAGTTGGACTTTCCGATATTGGCCCGGTGTTTGGGAAATCCGAAAAATCTGTGCGGTCACTCATTACACTATATAAATGTATTGGTCACTCATTCTTTCCATTTATATCCATTTATCATTACAATAAGCAATACCCAATACATTTAGTGAAATGAGTGACCAATACACTGTGGTTCTTTTCTAGGAATGTATTGGTCACTCATTACAATAAGCATTTTTCGGGTGTACCATGGTGTACCCGTTTTTTCTAGAAGGAACCACTCATATCTTCATTCCATCTTCGCCGGCCCAAGGGCTCCAACATGGATGGATTCTTCGATGGAAAAAGAAAGGGTGAAACCCCAACCATCCGATTTTTTTCAGTTGAAACATGTTCGCAATATGTTTAAACATGTTTAAACAATGTCGACATTTATGATTGTTTCTGGATGTTTCTAGATGTTTCTAGAGGAACGATCCATTTGTTTCGTAATATCCACATTGTTCGAGAGAAAACCTCTCATGCAGACCCAGATGTTCCATTAATTTCGTTTGCTGTTGGGCTTGGTGTTGAAACGGATGATTCTATATGTCATATGTTCACGAATCACCATACCTAATTTCATATGTACATAATATATGTGGGTAAATTAAAGCAACCTCGTTGCGACCTCATTGCGACCTCACTGGAATAACGTTTAATAGGGGTAGCTAACCCAAAATAGCCTCAATTCAGGTCTGTGAATTATTATAATTTACCCATGTATTATATATATATATGTAATATATATATATGTAATATATATATATGTAATATAATATGTATAATAAATCCTATATACACACATTCATGTTGTTCATCCAATAGAAAATAACACGCATCAATCGGACTCCCCTTTTTTCAGGCCTGGGATCTCCCGTCGCTGCTGAAATGAGAAAAAGATCAGTCAAACTGCGCTTCGGTAGCAACCAGATGATATCTATCTATATATAACAATCCCAACTGACTAATACTACCGGTGATATTAGTACATGTGATATTGGAAATACTAGTATTAGTATATGTATATTGATAGATATTGGAAAATACTAATGAGTATATTGGAGATATTGGATATACTAATATCAGTTGAATCATCTATAGGAACAAATGATGTTGTATAACAATGTATATGTGATATTGGAAATACTAATCCCAACTGACTAATATTTTCAGAGGGGTTGAAACCACCAACCAGTATATGTATGTATATGTGATATATGACGTGGTAAATGGGGGTATAATGGGGGTATATCTGGTTGGTGCTTTGGAACATTTGGATTATTTTTCCGTTACTATTGGGAATGTGTCATCATCCCAACTGACGAACTCATATTTTTCAGAGGGGTAGGTATACCACCAACCAGTATATGTGATATATGACGTACATGATGTGTATATATATATTATACAGTAATTATATATACGTGATATTAGATACGATTTTGTGTATCCAAATTATTGTGTGCATGTATCATTAAACATTAACACACACACATATATATATAGATAGATACACATACATTTACAACTGCAAACAAATGGTGGAAAACCAGACAAAAAGAAAAAACACGCACACACACATACCCCACCAATCATGAGGCGAAGAATGGTACTTTGACCAAAGCACTGGTTGGTGTTTTCTTTTTTCTTTGACTTTCCGTCCCTTCGACTGGGATAATGTATCTACAAACATGGGCAACAACCAGCAAGTGTGAATACGATGACCAATGCAAAATTACAAGTAAATCACCAGTAGTAGAAACATGAACATGGAGGGATCACCCCAACCAATGCGCGATTCATCAATGAAGATGGCTACTGTAAGGGTAGAGCATATTGATCTGCAATCAGGAAGATATCCGAAGCAATCACAGGTGTTTGTTTGAGTTAGTGGCCAAGAATTGTGGAGCCTTCCATTCTGAACCGAGACTTGTTGCTCCATTTGCGTCCAGTGTGTGAAGAGGATCTCTTTTGAGGCTTGCAGCTGCCAGCTTGAGGTAGCTAACTATTGATTCAAAGAGATAGACAAACCCTACAGGTACAATGCTTCAGGGTCCCCACCGATTTGGAAGCAGTAGCTCTCTACGCCTGAATCCGGACTTGCAGAATTCCAGTCCTCCGCTTGCTTTGATAACCAACATTGAGCAAAGTTGCAGTTTCAAACAGGTTTGCGTGCAAAGTCTATGCTACTCGTAAGGTGTCCAGTAGCAATATGGGTATGGGTCAATACCTATAGATACATTTTTAGTAGAATAAACATCCATTTACCAGCTATTTTGATGTTCACCAGGGGTACAAGGTTTTGACACACTGCCATATAAATGTCTTTAATGATCCGAAAGTTGTAAGATTAAGATTGAGCAACTTTGAAATGGCTTATGGCATCGCGTGCCCCATGGAGTGGAGCCGCAAGAGAAAGCTGGTGGCGCGGTTGCGGATGGGAAGCGTCGCAATTGGGAACCAGCGGAACCCAAAATCATTTGGTTATTCAAATAAACATGGAGATTGCCAATTAACCAAACATGGAGGTTTTAGTCAATTTGGTTATTCAAATGGAACCCAATTTTTCAAAATTACCAGCAAAACATGGAGGTGTAGTTAATTTGATGTAAACCATCTACTCTAATCATTGGTTATTCAAATTTACATGGAGATGTGTAACTATTTCAATAGTCTTCCAAAATTCAATGGTCAACGCAATTTACAAATTCCCATGAGCCCATGAACAGGAATTCATCTGCAAATGGATTCAGAAAGTCAGGTTTGATGAATTTCAATTAGCTATCAAGAAACTAGTATTGTACCAATAGTGAGTAACTAATATCTAGTACCACATTATCATTATAATATTATATAACTAATAAGATGCATCTACATACACTGGCTGGTTGGTGTTTTGGAACATGAATTTTATTTTCCACAATATATGGAATTTCATCATCCCAACTGACGAACTCCATCATTTTTCAGAGGGTTGGTCAACCACCAACCAGCTGGTACCGTAATTCATGTCGCAAATCGATGATCAGAGCTGGCCACCACATGCCGCGCGGGGTTCCAGAGCCAGGCACGACATCAGAAAGATCCGCGCGGCTGGTTCCTACAGGTGGACGGGTGGACGGGGAAGGGAACAGCAGAGTTAGCCTCTGGTAATCGCAACCAATCGGGAAGGAGGAATCAATGGATTGGTTTAAGGGAAAAATTACAGGAAAGCCCCATACTTAATGGGAAAATCAATGGTTTCCTGTAGATTTTCCCTTAAACCAATCCATTGAAGGAAGGAAACCAGTTGATGGTTGCAAAATCCTGCACCAGTTGATGGTAAACATCCCATAGGGTTTCAACCAGCCAAGGTGCTGCAGGATTTTGTCCATCCACAGTAGTATAGAAATGGAGGAAATTTCTATACCATGGGAATTTCTATATCATGGGAAACTCGTTTTTTGAAATGGATGATTTTTGTTTGCCATGTTTGATTAGCGGTAGCCTTGCTTTATTGGGAAGCCACAGGTAGTGAAATCATCATCCATATTTGAGCACCTGCACTGGGTATTTGAGCACCAAGACCAGAGATAGTTAATATCCTTTACGTTTAAAGAGAAACGAGGATATGATAATTATATAATATAAATGGTTTTCACACATTAACTCATATATCCTCATGGCCCATAGAAACAGTTGATTTACCGAACTTAAAGATGGCTATTTTCAATGGCTATGTTAGTTTACCAGAGGGTAACGCCGGGAATCATCCCATTGGGATCGGATTTTTTTTCGTCACCAAGCGATGCGATTTGCCAAGGTTTCTGCGACATTTATGCTACATTTATGCTACATGTCTGTGTTTTTTCCCAAGGTTTGGAATTTTTTGTTCACTGAAACTGGTTGGTAAACGGGTTCGTTTGAAGAATCGGGCCAGTGCTTGTCAGCATGTCCCTGGGAGATCCAGGATGCACCAAACTCCGTCGACCTTTTCGACCGGGACGTGAAAATCCGGAGTCAACGGTTTTTCTTTAAGCAGATACAGCATGATACAAGCCATGAATCTGTCGATGTTCCATTTTACATCATTTTACTGTATAGGCAAGTGGGTTTCAAGAACTACGGTTGCTACGGTTCTTGCGCAAAATAAATTATGGTTGCAGATGGTTGCTATGGTAAAGAAAAAAACATAAAAACAAAAACAAAAACTATGGTTCCGTTTACTGGATAAGTGTGACCCCAATTTTTGGACCCGTTTCCTGAGAAAAGCCAGGTGATCCTGGGCACCTGGCTCGTGGGCTACGCCGGCTACGCCTATTCTGGTGGCTTCCCGAGTAGTTTCTTTGAAGGGGTCTGAATTCAGCACTAAATACTTGTTAAATCGGTGGTTGTTAGGTAGGTGTACAATGGCGTACATATATATATACAGAATAAGGATGCTAAAATAGTTATATTATATAGCTTGTATACATCAATAATAATTCAATGAAACATGGAAGGAATTTGCATAGATTTACATCCATGTTGTGGTAAACCAGTGGGGTGGTTCATGAGAAAGCAGCATTTTGGAGTTATCAGCAGAGGCGGCAATCGGTTTGCAGTTGGGTGTCCCAGCTGCCTACACGTCATTTGGACATGTTGAATTCTTAATTAAATACATATGAATATGAATGTGATGATGATGATGATGATGATGATGATGATGATGATGCTGACGATCATGATCATGATGATGACGATCATGATCATGATGATGATGATGATGATGATGATGTAATTAAGCCATGTAATTACGTGCTTAATTGTGCAACCCAATGAACGGAACGCAAAGTCAAAGTGAGTAGCAAAGCCTAACGCATGGCGCACATTGGCGCAGTAGGTCACAAGCAAAGATCCCAAGGTGGGATAGCGTCATGTAGCAGCCCCCAAAAAATAACATAATTTATCAAACTTGTAAATAAACTCTTGTAGGCGTGTATATATATACAGTAGGATATGTTTTTTTTTGTTTGGGGGGTGGGGTCATGAATTTTCTTGCGCATCTCAACGCTTCGTGGTCGCCATCAAGTCACCACCAAGACACCCGATTCAGTTCACCATACATCTTGCTACATCCTGAAAAAAATCGTCGGTAGAATGGAAAAAAACGGCAAACATAAAAACATCCTTGGAAACTAACCATTATTAACCATTATTAACCATTGTTAACCATTATTAACCATTATTAACCATTATTAACCATTATTAAGCATTAACCATTATTAAGCATGATTAACCATTATTAACCATTATTAAGCATCATTAACCATTATTAAGCATTATTATATAACCATTATTAACCATTATTAAGCATTATTAACCATTATTAAGCTTTATCAAGCATTATTAAGCATGATGAACCATTATTAACCATTATTAACCATTGTTAACCATTATTAACCATTAACCATGATTAACCATTATTAACCATTATGAACAATTATTAACCGTAATTTAACCTTTATTAACCATTTTAAACAGCATTATTAAGTATTATTCAGCATTATTAAGCAGTATTAGCCAGTATTAACCATTATGAACAACTGTTTAACATTGTTAACCATTATTAACCATTATTAACCGTAATTTAAGCATTATTAAGCATTATTAACCATTGTTAACCATTATTAACCATTATCAACCATTATTAAGCATTATTAACCATTATTAACCATTATTAACCATTATTAACCATTGTTAACCATTGTTAACCATTATTAAGCATTATTAAGCATTATTAAGCATTATTAACCATTATTAACCATTATTAAGCATCATTAACAAGTATTTTTAACCATTATTAAGCATTATTAACCATTATTAACATTATTAACTGTAATTTAACCATTATTAAGCATGATTAAGCATTATTACCATCGTTAACCATTACTAACCATTATTAACCATTATTAACCATTATTAACCTTTATCAAGCATTATTTACCATTATTTACCATTATTTACCATTATTAACCATTGTTAACCATTATTAACAATTATTAAGCATTCTTAAGCATTATTAACCATTATTAACCATTATCAACAATGATTAACCGTGATTTAACCACTATTAAGCATTACTAACCATTATTAACCATTATTAACCATTATTAACCACTATTAACCATTATGAACAATTATTAACCGTAATTTAACCATTATTAATCATTTTAAAAAGCAGTATTAAGCATTATTAACCATTATTAACCATTGGTAACCATTATTAACCATTATGAAAAATTATTAACCGTAATTTAACCATTATTAACCATTATTAACCATTGTTAACCAGTATTAACCATTAACCATGGTAACCATTATTAACCATTATGAACAATTATTAACCGTAATTTAACCATTATTAACCATTTTAAAAAGCATTATTAAGCAGTATTAACCATTATTAACCACTATTAACCATTATTAACCATTATTAACCATTATTAACCATTATTAAGCATTAACCATTATTAAGCATGATTAACCATTATTAACCGTTATTAAGCTTTATCAAACATTATTTACCATTATTAACCATTATTAACCATTATTAACCATTGTTAACCATTATTAACCATTATTAACCATTATTAACCATTATTAAGCTTTATCAAGCATTATTATATATCCATTATTAACCATTATTAACCATTGTTAGCCATTATTAACCATTATTAACCATTATTAACCATTATTAAGCTTTATTAACCATTATTAAGCATGATCAACCACTATTAACCATTATTAACCATTGTTAACCAGTATTAACCATTAACCATGGTAACCATTATTAACCATTATGAACAATTATTAACCGTAATTTAACCATTATTAACCATTTTAAAAAGCATTATTAAGCAGTATTAACCATTATTAACCACTATTAACCATTATTAACCATTATTAACCATTATTAACCATTATTAAGCATTAACCATTATTAAGCATGATTAACCATTATTAACCATTATTAAGCTTTATCAAACATTATTTACCATTATTAATCATTATTAACCATTATCAACCATTGTTAACCATTATTAACCATTATTAACCATTATTAACCATTATTAAGCTTTATCAAGCATTATTTACCATTATCAACCATTATTAACCATTATTAACCATTGTTAGCCATTATTAACCATTATTAACCATTATTAACCATTATTAAGCTTTATCAAGCATTATTTACCATTATTATGATTGATGGGAGTTCATGGGTACAGCAAACAAAACACATCCAATCCAGGTGGAACTTTTCGGGTGCAACGCCGGGCCGTGGAAACGGAGGGTGAGAAGGTCGCGGTGACGGTGGCGGATTCTGATCATAGTTCGCCTGTCCTTGTTATATTATGTTATATTGTGAACTATTTTGATCTATTTTGATATATGTTGATTTGGTTTCTCTGTTGATTTGTCTATTGTTTAAAGAGGACCACCAAATGTGGTTTAGAGTTTTAGCCACATGTTCCAGGCATAAACCTCTTATATAGTTCCATGTAGAATATTGCAGATGGCAGTTTTTGGCAAGGAGTTCCCTTTTTGCGAACATCCTGCGGTTGGTTCAACCAGCAATCAATTTCTTCGGTGTAAATCCACACGTCAAAAAAAATATGGAACATGCGAAAATCATAGAGGAAGGGCCCTGAAAAAAAAATAGATCAGTCGGTTTACAACTAGACTAACTATATCTAACTATGATTTGTGGCTAAATCATGACTTCTTATAATCCAACCTTTAACCCAAAGGTGCCTTCCAAATCCAGGCCGAAAAATTGTGGACGCTCGAAGTTGGCTGTACGGCAACTTGGCTCATCGGTACATGGGCTTGTTGTTTCCAAGCTTTCCGTCGGTGTCCATGCCTAGTGGTACATATTATGTACATACTTTTTGGATTATTTGGTGAAGCCAGGTATCACTCACATGAGATTGTGTCAAAGTTGGGCACCCCAGAACCCATCTTCTTTGCCATTCAGTTGTTTGTTAAGGCGATATCAATATCCACCATTTTGAGAGAAACGCAATTCAAATACCAAACATATCAGAGGATGGCATTTTGTTCGTGGGAGTTTCGGGTCAGTGCGCTTGAATCCTGGGAATGTGCAGTTCGAACCTTCCATAAAGATCAATAAAGCATGCCCCTTAAACTTTCCACGAGGATCACTACGTCTGGAAGGACAAGGAGGGAAACCGACACTTCGCGGTGGTGGCGGTGGAAGGTCCTGGGGATGTCATTTGGGGATTTGCTTCTGAAAGTACACCAATCAATTGGATCACTTGCTGCCAAAAAATAGACACTGCACAATTATTTATGATCGTATATTCATGTATATTCTATCCATAGATTTAGAATGCAACAACCAAGGGGTACTGTAGCAGATGACCAACAAAAGTGTGATTTGCTAAGCCAGAAACCGGATCTACTGTACTAATGCAAATGGATATAGGCAACATCGCATAGGTTTCAAAAGTGAACAGGCAGCGGGAGCCACGCATTTTTTTGGGAGGAAGTACGTGCAATGACCATCCAAATAGTGTCCTTTTTGAGTATGAATTCTGAATCATCCATTTCTATCCATTTCTAGTCATTTTTGCTTTGATGATATATGCTATAGATATTATAGATGATTTAACAGCAGTTTATAACGTCGGGGGAACCACAACATGTACTGAATCAACCGGTCGGTCACCAGGGTTTTTATTCAGGAAGGTGCCCGAGGATTCCCCGACCAGGACGTCTTTGTTGGCATTGTGGCAGATGCGGGAGAATGGACTGTGGACCTAGGCCTGGGCCTGGTTGATATTTGTGTGTCCGATCGCTGGAAAATGTGTCCAGTCTATATGATATATGGTTGGTTATTGGCAGTTGAACTCAAACAATCGACAAGGCCAATGTATGGTTAGTTTTCACAGATTTGATCGAATTCGAGATTCTTCACGTACGCGTACGTTGATGGCCCAAATCATCCAAGTCTAATAAGACCATGATGACGACTGGTGAAACAACCATGGTGACGACTGGGGATCATATGATGTTTCTGTAGGTGATAATAAATCATTTTCCCTCTCATAATCCCGCCCTGGTTGATGGTTACATATGGCTACATCCCATCATCAAAAGGGATGATTTAACTTATATGTTTTCATATCCATATGGATTATATATAACATTATATAACTCATATGATAGTCATATCAAAGATTTTTACTCATATCCATATCAAAAATTGCCATTTCTTCATTTTGCCTCTGACTTAAAAGCATCGCAGATGCCGTGCGTAACGGCTTTGAGGAGGCGCCCGAAGCTGGCGCGTCTTTTTTGCTGTCCGGAAAAGATGCAGTGATCCTGGGATGATAATGGGGATATGTACTGTAAGAAGAAAAATAAGCATATATGATGATATATGTAAGTATGTATAATAACGTATAATATATGTGTATGTATATATGTATTTATGACATGTACATAAATCTCATCAGGGTATGATTGGAGGCATTGTATCATTTTCCTAGGACATATTTACCCAATCTTGGGGACACCAAAAGAATTCACCAGTTTGGTCGCCAAAAAAGGAATGCCGTCAGTAATCAACAGCTATCAGGTGGGAAGTCCCACACAATAAAGCGTTGGTCGCTAAGTGGACTGTTGCTAAGTCCCTAAGGCCACCTTTGAGAAATAGTTTTATTCTATCTCTTGTTACTTTTTAATGACCCTGGTGTTTGGTAATGAATTTAATTGTTACTGGAATGACCGTGGTCTTTGGCGATTTGAATCATTTTTCACAAGGTTATCAAACAATAATGGTTACTATATGGTTACTATATGGTTAATATATGGTTAATATATGGTTAATATGTACACTAAGGCTTGACCATGTTTTCGTCACGCCGGACTGTCAAGGCTTGTGACAAGGGCACGGCTGAGATCTTTTCGGCTCCCTTGCATGTGGTCAAGGTACGCGACACCTTCTGCCAGAGTGCCCATGGCATCATGGTCAAGTTACATGGTGATTTACCAAAGAACAAATGGTGATTTATATAATGGTATATATATAGTATCACCATTGGTGTATAGTATAATCCCATTTATAATACCATATATTTACCAAACAATGCTGATTTCATGGGATTATACATATATAATAATATATATATATTTACAGTATCTCTCTCATGGAACTACTGTTGATGATCTTGGATGATTTTCTCATGTCAAGGAATCCCAAATTGTAAGGAATCCCATGGGTGGTCACCATGTAGGAGGGCCCGACCCTGGTGGCAACTGGCAAGGATTTAAGCATCAAACCTACTGATGGTGCGAATTGACTAATGCCTTACCCCTATTTACCCCTAATATTAAAATATGAAACATCTCCCCAGAAGCCATAGTTTAGTAGGGGAAACCAGATCGCAGATGGGAGCCTTCAACACAGGACATTCCTGTATTCCTTGTACACCATGGGAGGTTGATTCATGACATGTTCGTTATTGGGTACATCTTCTGCTGGAGAATCAGCCTGATTTTTTTAGACAGCGAGCCGAGAGCACATCTGGACAATCTCATTTGACTGGAATAGATATAGAGTTTTTCAGAAAGAGACTTTTAAACGTGAATTTTCGTTTACAAACGCCAACAACGCTAATGAAGGTTAACGCTAATTTTCTACGTCAATCAACGTTAATTTACGTTAATACCGCGAATGCTGGGATAGGAACGGCTCCCATAAGTTGCAACCGGCCATGGAAATCCACGTCTTCGGCCGGCATTTTTCATGGGGGGATGGGATTGATCCCGTCAGGATGGGGTGAAACCGGGTGTGGCCTCAGTATGGTTCAGTACTAAGACACGTTCCCATCACCGTATTTTATTCAATGAGATATCTCATGTAGATATCTATAGATGTGTAATGTAATATATGAAATATCACGAAATATGCATACATGATCATATATGTATATAATATACATATATAATCACATATATATATATACATATTATATGTAATATATATATATATCATATATATATATCATATATATATATATCATATATATATATATCGTATATATATAGGCATGGTATGGTATTCATAACATTGGCTGATCTGGCACTCGCGTTGCAGCACTTGGAGGCTTACGTCAAGGAGCTCACATCCTACGGTCTCGCTGCCAGGGCCGGGATGGGGCAGCCAAGGTTGCTGAAAGCGGCTGAAACAATGGGATGTTCAGTGGTTTAAAGATACTACATAATATCAAAACCATTCAAACATATCAAACATATGAAACATATGAAACACAACACATGAAAAACACCTGTATTTGCATGAGTTTAGATAGTTTAGTCCTAAAAAGTGGAGCACCTTGTTACCTGGAGGCCAAAGAAGCGACGAGCGACGTGGAGGGGGGCGGCTACCAGCGCCGCGATTTCAAGGCCGCCGTAGATGGAGTGGCATGGAGTGATTGGGGAAAGCAATGGTGTTATATAAATGATATATACATGATATATAAATAATATTTAAATAATATATAAATAATATATAAATAATATATACATAATATATAAATAATAATATATGATTATATGTGTTAAATGTATTATAATTATATATTTACATGATTATATATGATTTTATCCCCATTAATATAAGTTTTTTTGATTATATAAGATGATATCCCTATTAATGTGAGTAAACATCCCCCAAATCACAATTTTTATGGGTGATTTATAAACCATCAATTTGTATGGTCCGAAAGCACGACATTTCTTTACGAACATGACCCAGCAGCAACCCAAGAAGAATGAGGTATTTTCCAGCAACGAATGGGGATCGAAGAATGTGGATACAATGGGAATCAATGGGATGATAGTTGAACCGCTACCGGATCTGGATCTGGGTATGTCTGAACATCTGGTTTTATAATGTTTTATAGCCTTGTTTTTGCATGGGAATTCCAGAAATTTACCAGCAACAAATGGGAAAATGATGAGAACAAAATCATTCGGTTTTGTTTGAAAATTGTGCTATACCAACAAAATGGGTGTGTCTGAAAATAGTGTACCCCTAAACCCAATGGTTAATGATCATTATCCCTATGAAATGGCTATTTCATTGGGAATATACCCTATTTTCAGACAAACCCAATAATAGTTTCTGCAGTTCGGAGTTCGGAATATATATATATATGGCAACAGGCGGCCCTGTGATCTACTTGCATTTTATTCTTTAAAAAACATGCTTTACCTTCACTTATATAGTTCAAGAACTTTAGCAGAACAGAAGTTTTGAAAGGATTGAAACGTTAAAAAAAAACAAAATTTCAGAAGTATCACATATTCCAAATATATATTTCAAATATGTCAAATATCCCGAATATTTCAAATATTTCAAATATTTCAAATATTTCAAATATTTCAAATACTCCAAATATTCCAAATATTTCAAATATTTCAAATATTTCCAATTTTTTCAATATTCCAAATATTTCAATTATTTTCAAATATCTCAAATATTTCAAATATTTCAATTATTCCAAATATTTTCAAATATCTCAAATATTTCAAATATTTCAAATATTCCAAATATTTCAAATATTTCAAATATTTCAAATATTTCAAATATTCCAAATATTTCAAACATTTCAAATATTGCAAAAATTTCAAATATTCCAAATATTTCAAATATTCCAAATATTTCAAATATTTCAAATATTTCAAATATTCCAAATATTTCAAATATTTCAAATATTCCAAATATTTCAAATATTTCAAATATTTCAAATATTCCGAATATTTCAAATATTTCAAATAGCCCAAATATTTCAAATATTTCAAATATTTCAAATATTCCAAATATTTCAAATATTTCAAATATTGCAAATATTTTCAATATTCCAAATATTTCAATTATTTTCAAATATTTCAAATATTTCAAATATTCCAAATATTTCAAATATTTCAAATATTTCAAATATTTCAAATATTCCAAATATTTCAAATATTTCAAATATTTCAAAAATTTCAAAGATCCCAAATATTTCAAATATTTCAAATATTTCAAATATTTCAAATATTCCAAATATTTCAAATATTTCAAATATTCCAAATATTTCAATTATTCCAAATATTTCCAAATATTTCAAATATTCCAAATATTTCAAATATTCCAAATATTTCAAATATTTTCAAATATTCTAAATATTTCAAATATTTCAAATATTCCAAATATTTCAAATATTTCAAATATTCCACATATTTCAATTATTCCAGATATTTCCAAATATTTCAAATATTCCAAATATTTCAAATATTCCAAATATTTCAATTATTTTCAAATATTCTAAATATTTCAAATATTTCAAATATTCCAAATATTTCAAATATTCCACATATTCCACATATTTCAAATATTTCAAATATTTCAAACATTTCAAATATTTGAATTATTGCAAAAATTTCAAATATTCCAAATATTTCAAATATTTCAAATATTTCAAATATTTCAAATATTTCAAATACTCCAAATATTCCAAATATTTCAAATATTTCAAATATTTCCAATTTTTTCAATATTCCAAATATTTCAATTATTTTCAAATATCTCAAATATTTCAAATATTTCAATTATTCCAAATATTTTCAAATATCTCAAATATTTCAAATATTTCAAATATTCCAAATATTTCAAATATTTCAAATATTTCAAATATTTCAAATATTCCAAATATTTCAAACATTTCAAATATTGCAAAAATTTCAAATATTCCAAATATTTCAAATATTCCAAATATTTCAAATATTTCAAATATTTCAAATATTCCAAATATTTCAAATATTTCAAATATTCCAAATATTTCAAATATTTCAAATATTTCAAATATTTCAAATATTTCAAATATTTCAAATACTCCAAATATTCCAAATATTCCACATATTCCACATATTTCAAATATTTCAAATATTTCAAACATTTCAAATATTTGAATTATTGCAAAAATTTCAAATATTCCAAATATTTCAAATATTTCAAATATTTCAAATATTTCAAATATTTCAAATACTCCAAATATTCCAAATATTTCAAATATTTCAAATATTTCCAATTTTTTCAATATTCCAAATATTTCAATTATTTTCAAATATCTCAAATATTTCAAATATTTCAATTATTCCAAATATTTCAAATATTTCAAATATTTCAAATATTTCAAATATTTCAAATATTTCAAATATTTCAAATATTTCAAATATTTCAAATATTTCAAATATTTCAAATACTCCAAATATTCCAAATATTTCAAATATTTCAAATATTTCAAATATTTCAAATATTCCAAATATTTCAAATATTCCAAATATTTCAAATATTCCAAATATTTCCAAATATTTCAAATATTCCAAATATTCTAAATATTTCAAATATTTCAAATATTTCAAATATTTCAAATATTTCAAATATTTCAAATATTCCAAATATTTCAAACTTCATTTATTATTTTATTTATATTTAGTTTATATTTTATTTATTATATATACATTTAGTATTTTTATATATATATAAATTGATTTAACATATTTTCAATATATAAAAAATATTTTATATTTAATTTCGAATCTTTACTTATATATATATATACATATAAATTATTTACAATATGTATTTTTTAAACTAATATATAATATTTATATTGTATTATTTAAAGATAGTATTTATATATATATATATATATTATATATATATAAATTTTATATATATATATATTTATTATCAAAACTGTAAATATGATATATATATAATATATTTTATATATTTTATTTTATATATTATATATTATATATATTTTATATTATATATATTTTATATATGTTATATATAATATATATTGTATATAATATATATATATATTATAATTTATATTTTGTATACATTATACAAATTATATATTATATATATATATATTATATTATATATATTATATTTATTTTATATATATTCTATATATTGTATATATATATTATATATATTATATATTAAATATAAATATTATATATTATATATTTTATTATATACTATATATTTTCAAAAATATATATATTATGTATATTATACATTAAATATATTTTCTTGAAATATTATATATAGTTAGTATATTAAATATATTATTTATATTACATATATTATATATATTATATAAAATTTATATATTTTATATATATTATATATTATGAATATTATATATTATATATTTTTTATATATGTTATATATATAATATATATTGTATAAAATATATATATATATATATATTATATAATTTTTATTATTATATACATTATACATATTATATATTATATATATATTATATAATATATATATATTATATTATATATATATATTCTATATATTTTATATATATGTATTGTATATATTATATATTATATATATATTATATATTATATATATATTATATATTATATATTTTATATATTATATATTCTAAAAAGATATATATTATTTATATTATATATTAAATATATATTTTCTTGAAATATTTTATGTATTATATATATTATATATATTATATACATTGTAAAAATTGTATATAATATATATATATATATTATATTTAATCTACATTATGTATTTAGATTTTTTTTTTAATATTACGTGTATTTTTATTTTTTCAATTTTTTATATATATTATGTTTTATATAATTTATATATTATAAAACATTTACAAATTATATATTATATGTATTTTATATAGTATATATATTTTTTATATTTTTATTTATTTTTAACATATTATATATTTTGAATACGATATTATTTATTATATATTGTAAAATTTATTATTATTATATATTTTTATTCTTTTTATTTTTTATATATTATATATATATTTTATTGAATATATGTATATATTTATTTATATATTATATATATAATATTTTTCTATATATATCAATATATATATACTTAATATTATTTTATATAATATATAAATTATATATATATTTATATATTAAATATTTTATTTACAGTATATATATTTATATACATATATATATTGTTTATATTTATTTATTTTTCATTTTTTTCATTTTTTCAATCTTTTAAATATATATGCATATATATATATGTTTTTTTACCAGTATTTTATTTTTTTAATATTCGTTTACATAACACATATAATTTACAAAATATATGTGTTTAAATTATTGATAAATATGTTCATTTCAAAATTTGTAATAAATATTTATGTATAAAAGATTTAATTTGTTTAATTAATATGATATAGTTGTGCTTTTTACAATATATATAATAAATAAAAAATATAATATGTATTTTTAATATGATATATTTTTATTATATTTAATACATATATAGTATATAATTATAGATATATAATCTAATTTTTTTAACTATAAGTTATATATTTAATATAGCATGTATATAACATGTATGATTTATATTTTATCTTTATAATATTAAATATTAAATATATATATTATATATATATTTTTAAACTTAATATATATATATGTTTTTTTACTTAATATATAATATGAAATATTTTATTTATATATATTATGATATATATAGAATTTGTAATACTTTAAAATATATAACATATTTGTACTATATATCGTATATAAATAGGGGCGTCTGTTGTCATTTATGTTTCACGATATTTACATAGACTGCAGCTGAACACACTATTCGAATAGCGTTTTCATTGCGCATCAGTGTTGTGCTGTAGCTACTTTTGTAGTCAGTCTTTGGGTCACATGCAGAAACAAACATCTGTTGGCATTCTGTTCCATTTTACTATTCTCATGAACTAGGACTGAGTTTTAAGGAAGTCAAAGAAACATTGTCTGATGCCCAACTCATGAAATGCTTTAAGCTGATTAGATGCATAGGTGGGCAGATGGTGTTGCCACTCCATTATCCACACATGAAAGTCAGCAGGTTTTGTTTTTGGTTTCGTTTGCTTGGCAAACACGTTCCTTGCTAGCCTGATGATACACCAGAGTTACATCGCTGCAGGAACATTTCTTCTGACCTAAGCCTAGCCCTTTGCATCTTTGGGTAAACCTTCGGAATGTTGTGGAGAGGCGGAACACTCCTTGCGGGCTAAGGGATGTGTGGCATACAGCCACCATGGTCTGACCATGAGCGTTACCTTTGCGGGTGGACGCAGGGGCTGGGCAACAACAATCCAGTGTCAGCTGTGCAAGAAATATGAGCATGAGCACGCCAGCCACTTTGCATACTTGAGTGCTGAGAAGTCCGATGTTTGGGAATTCGCTTCCCTCCGGGATGCTGACATCGAGGTGCTCATGGCCAGGATTGAGGCAGAAGAGACCGCAAAGGCCTCAGGCGCAGAGTTGGATCTGACTGAGGTGGAGAAGGTGAAATGTCGACGCAGGTTGGGGCAAAAGGAAGTGGTCCAGGCATGCTTCAAGTGCTGTGGACTGAAGTTGCACAACAATGAGTTTGCATTCGCCAAGATGGCAAATGGTGCCTGCATCGAGCCGTCAGTGCCGAACAACCAGTTCAAAAAGCTTAGCAACAAAACAATGAAGAGTGAGGCAAGTGAAGAATCTCTGAGAAACCTCTTGGGTCGTGTGGAAAGGACACTTGGCCAGGAAACAGCCCAGAAACTACGTGTAGACTTGACGACACTTCGGGACACCCGTGTGTCAAAGGCATCAGACTGGGTCTCGCAATTGTCGAGCACTGAAGTGAAAGCAGAGATTTTGGATTGCCAGCTTCTCTACTCTTGTCAGGTGTGTCACCTGCTTCCTGCACGTGCAGCCAGCTGTTATTTGCTGGAGTCGCCTCACACCAGCCGCCGCACCTGGGTTTGCGCCCGCTGTGGCCACAAATGGGGCGGGTGTGCCAGCCAGCGGATCTTGGTGGTAAAGGTCACTAGTGGAGCGCAGGCAGTTCTGTGTGAGATCCCAGCATCAGTGCCAGCTCAGCTTGAAAACCAAATGAGCCTACTGCGCTTGGTGCATGTGGCCCGCAAGTTGAAGCCCGGAGAGCCATCGGCTGAGGACATTCTGGCAGTCATCGGAGAGCTGGCAGCAGTGTCAGAAACACGGATGAAAGCTTACTCGGTCATGTTCCAGCAAAAGGCCACGTCTGACTACCAGGAGCGCTTTCACGCTTCCAAGCTCCTTTGTGAGCATGAAACTTTGTCTCTGCGAGGGCCAGGGCAAATGTTTCAGGCTTTGGAAGTGCCTCCCGAGCTCCCCCGAATTGATCTCGCAGCTCTGCAACAGATCATCCACCTTGCTGCGTCCACCTTGGACTTGGAAGTGGTCCGCCAGCATGAAGATGTGGGCAAAGAGAAGAAGAGGGCCTTGAACGCATTGGTCCATGATAGCAGTGCTGCGCTGAAGCGCTTCAACAGTAAAGAGGGCTGATAGCAGATGCATGGCGCTAAGATGATCCTGAAGGGAGCCTCTCCCGGGTGAATCTTTGTGTCGTGTGACAATTTCAAGTTTCAACTTACCCTGAAAAAATCTTTGTCCTTGAATGATTTTTCCTCACATAGCCCATTCTAGCATGAATATAAGTCAGATGGCTGTGGTCGAAGATTTTGGGAAAGGCTTTCAGGCCACTGGGCTCTTTGAAGTTTGACACTGCTGTGCCAAAGGGGAGCCTCAACTCTCCGCCTAAGGTCTGAGCAAGAAAAAATCATTCCGTCTGCTTCGCATTTGAAACGAATTGCTTTGCAATGCGCTAGCGCCAATGCTTAAGAGCAATTCTTCTCCATTCAGCGTTGCCTGTCTAGGCCAGCTGCGTTCACCACAGCAGCCCTCTTCAGGCTAGGCAGCTTTTGTCAGCAAATGTTGGCTGAAGGTATGTCCACTTGCTTGTGTGACCAACTTATTACCACATCAATCCATGCAACTGCCAGTGCCAGGCCCGCAAAAACGGCCATCTCCAGGCTGGGCAATTGGTGTCAGACAATGGTGGTTGAAGGTATTTTCAATCGTGCGTGCAAAAAATGTCTTGTAGCATCAATCCGATGCATTCCAGCATTTCCATGGTAGATCACAGAGGTGCCTCTTGGCATATATATATATATGATATACTACGGTGATGAATCCATGGATTTTGGGGTACCCGAATTTTCGGCCCCAGAAAAAGGTTCGATGCTTTGCCAAGGACCACCCCAAATATTACCAAGATGATGCAGACTCTGTGGTTCTAGCTTAATTGTTGACTCATATGGATGTGGAAAAGGAGCATTTGCAAAATTTAGATGCCGAATGATGCCCATTGCCTTTGCGTGTTGTTTGTCAGGAATTGGACGTACCAACATGCACCAACCAGTTCAGTCCCTTGGTGTAGAGAGAGAGAGAGTAGGTAGAGTCCACCCGGTTCAATCCGGTTGTTCTCAAACACTAGCATGTATTGTGATGGTTGTCACATGTTGTAACCTCAGAAATTTCCATGCCTATCTGTACGTATATGAATGAATAATGTAGTTTGTTATCCCAAGAGAACTTGCTACACAAGATGGCTACAACAAAAGAGGCCATGAACTAGCCATTTTGCGGCCGAACAACTGTGAAACCGACTGTATTTTTGGGAGATGTTTAGTCTCAAACAAATGTTTTCGAACAGACTATCTGGTTGGTGATTTGGGCCATGTTTTATTTCCCCCAATAGTTGGGATGATGATCCAATCTGACTAATATTTTTCAGGGGGGTTGAAACCACCAATTAGCTATATGTCCATATTATGTATCTATATGTTGTTGTTTTTTTTAATAAGCAGTGTCAAAAACCCATTGGTTCCTTGTGAATATATGGGGTTCTACTAACCTATTGAAAAAGGATCAGATTCATGGGGATTTAACATGATTTAACCCGCCCATTGGAAGATGGGTCAGAAGATGTAGTAGCCCAAAATCCTATGGTTGATGATCACTGATGATCATTTTTCCATATTTTGTCCTATGAATCCTGTTGATCATGTTGATCAATTCATGTTTCCCAGTGTTTCCCTGTGATCTGATGGTCATTTTTAGATGGTATCCCCTATTGATGGAGCCAGGACCTCTCACCCGAGCTGAAGGAAGGCGCAAGAGAAGACGGGGTCCTGCAGGCGCCCGAGTCGTCACGACCGTCGCGTTCGAAGAAACCGGTGATGTTGGAGATTGGCCCTCCATAAAGATAGAAAAGTAAACATTACTGGTTGGTGGTTTCACACATTTTTTATTTTCCATATTTTTCCATAATATATGGGATGTCATCCTTCCCATTGACTAATACTTTTCAAGATGGTTAAAACCACCAACCAGTTAAATATTGGAGAATTAGTGATAAACTATGATAGACTACGTATACGTTTTGATAATTTTGATACGTATCTTTTTGGGGTGTGGTATTCAAATACTATAAAGGGGCGGTACTTCAGATGACATATGGGTTTGTTGTGGTTTGGTTGAAATTTGGATACCACAAATTTCCAACCGTTCATCATCACTTCACCCATTGTAAACTTTCAGACACCCAAATGTTTGTGTTCCCATCATTTTCCTATTTGTTGTTGGTGAATCCCCATCAAGACATCCTATGAAAACCCCATTAAATAGGCATTTGGATTTTCAGACACAGCCATATGGAGGTTTCCTAAAATGGGCACCCCTAAATCATCCATTCTAATAGGATTTTCCATCATTAACCGTCCATTTTGGGGGAAAACACCGATTTTAGGAAACCTCCATATAGTTCTACCCCAGCATGGGTTACCCAGCTTAGCTCAGGCCGAAGCTTCCGGAAAGCCCTTGCAGATTGTGCTGGAGAAGAGTGTTCCGGGGCCTCGAAAAATGGGATTATGATGGGGGATTACCCTCTGGTTATGTAACGTAGCTATAGAAAATCATAGAAAATCACAATGTTTAATAGGTAAATCTAATAACAATTCATCTATAAAAAGGCCATTCAAATACATAGCCTAATTATAGATGATTTATGATGATTAACTAATGAACATGGGCCATACCCATTTTCCATTGCAAACAAATAACCAGAGGGTATGATGCCAGGCTGCCAAGGGCTACCATTTGGGGATCACAGCTGCGGGTCAGATGATGTTCGCCAGCTGGGGTACCCTAAATGGATCGTCACTAGTCAAGGCCAGCGAAAATCCTTGTTTTCCTCATGTTTGCTTTGACCTCCATAGAGTACAGTACCATCTTGGTATGGGTCAAAACCTACTAATCATGTGGTATAAGGGATGACCATCAACCTTGAGGTTCACTGGGGGTACAGGGTTTTGACCCACATCCATCTTGGTATTGACCATGCAAGTTCTTTGAATCGAAGGGTACCCAGTGGCTTGGCCCATGCCCAACTGTTGATTTCTGGCAAATTTCTGGGAGGGGCCAAGCCCCGTGGACCCCGGTGTTCCACCAAGATCATGTGCAATTCAAAATTCATGGAACTGTCCGGCACACTCCTGTCTTCTGTTTTACTCCTTCATTACTTCAACCGTACAAATACGAGGCAATAAAAGAACAAAAAAGGGAGAAGAAGGGAGACAAGCACCGGAACCCCAGCCCGAAGCAGGAGGAACCAGGAAATCCATGATGGAACAGAACCCCTTTCCTGAGGAAAGAAAGAAGAGAGAAGAAGGGAGACAAGCACCGGAACCCAGCCGGAACCAAGACGAACCAGCAAATCATGATGGAACAGAACCCTTTCCTGAGGAAAGAAAGGAGAGAGAAGAAGGGAGACAAGCACCGGAACCCCAGCCGGAACCAAGAGGAACCAGAAAATCCATGATGAAACAAAACACCTTTTCCTGAGAAAAGAAAGAAGAGAGAAGAAGGGAGACAAGCACCGGAACCCCAGCCGGAACAAAGACGAACCAGCAAATCATGATGGAACAGATACCCTTTCCTGAGGAAAGAAAGGAGAGAGAAGAAGGGAGACAAGCACCGGAACCCCAGCCGGAACCAAGAGGAACCAGAAAATCCATGATGAAACAAAACACCTTTTCCTGAGAAAAGAAAGAAGAGAGAAGAAGGGAGACAAGCACCGGAACCCCAGCCGGAACAAAGACGAACCAGCAAATCATGATGGAACAGATACCCTTTCCTGAGGAAAGAAAGGAGAGAGAAGAAGGGAGACAAGCACCGGAACCAAAGAAGAGAGAAGAAGGGAGACAAGCACCAAAACCCCCAGCCATTTTTTTGACATTCTAAGTCTTAGTTGGAAAGCTACAGAAATTAGCTCTTTCAGTATGAGCTTGGATTTTTTTGTCATTTTTCAGCATCTTTATGGTCGTCCGTAGCTGTTTGTACAGATTTTGCCTCAAGCACTCAGGGACGCTATTTTGCTCAGCGTCGACATAGCCATGGCGCTCAGATCCGTTTTGTTCGCTTGCCTCATCCTTGCGAGCGTTGAAGCTTCTTTCAACATGAACAACATCGCAGATGGCTGCTTGCACTGGACATGGCACAACTGGACCTGCGACGAAAGCAATCCAACATTTGACTACAACAGTGCTTTCGCAAACTTTCATTTGGAGTGCCAGGGCAAGTGGACGTGCGTGACAACTACTAATGCAACATGTTGCTTAGACGTTGTGAGACCACGTGTGGAGCTTTTTCCTTAACGGGCCTTGAGAAGGATTGCTTCGCTCACGGAGCGACGTGAAAAACAGTGCTCTTAGCCGAAGCTCTTTTGATTAGACCGAGCACGCGTGGAGCTTGGTAGCGGGCCTTGAGAAGGATTGCTTCGCTCACGGAGCGACGTGAAAAACAGTGCTCTTAGCCGATGCTTTTTTGATTGAAAAGGTCTGCAGGTAGCAAGGGGTTCACCGGTTTTCCGACGGATTGACCGTTTGAAAACACAGATTGAGTGACTCACGTTCAACCTTGTCTGGTTGGTGGTTTGGAACATTTTTTTTCCATAATATATGGGATAATCCTTCCCATTGACTAATATGTTTAAGAGGGGTTGAAACCACCAACCAGTTGTAAAGTTTTTGGAGACTTCAATACGAGGGTCATTGATTATTTTTTTGCAAGAAAGACTTTGTGGGAAGCATCAACTGTGACCATCAGCCACTTGTTCACTGCATGAAATCTCTTATATACACTACCATAGGAAAACGAAGCCTCACTCGGTTCAAGCCGAAAAAAATCCCCATAACTTGCCATTGAAATTGCCACGGGCTGAGGATCATCCTTGCCTCTCCGGGGAGAAGAAAGCCATGTCAAAGCACCTTGGTGATTCAGTGAGCTGGTGTAACAGTTCATGATTTTGATTTGAATGATATAGAAACAATAATTACATCATTATAGAAATAATGATTACATCATTATAGAAATAATGATTACATCATTATAGAAATAATAATTACAGTACACCATTATTTGAATATGTATATATATATATGTAACTATATATATATTGTATACAGTATACATACTATATATTTGAATATGTATATATATATATGTAACTATATATATAATGTATACAGTATACATACTATATATATATATGCATTGACATATACACAGGTATGTATACATGTACTATATATATATACACAGTATATACATATTATATGATGTACATGCATGGTACTCCAATGAGCACATGTCAGGGATATTTACAGTGTTTTGAGAGATTCTTCTGTTTTCGGGGGGAACCCTGTAAAGCATCGGATGGCTCAACCTCAACGGCTGGCGGGTCAGCTCCGACTGCTATGATATTTGCATTATCTACACAGAATTCATCAGAATTCTATAGATATGTACTATATGAATCTATATTACACGCATGTAGAATATATAATATAACAAGAAAATATACCCCCAACACATCTAACTGCAGATTCATAACTTACCATAGATCCAATACATTGTGTACTAACTACAAGATCTAACTTGCTATAGATCACTATTCCAAGATCCGAATCTCCCCCGAGGTTCAAGGCCTACGTGGAGTTGGCCACCGATGCGGCACAGCGATGGCTGCCGCCGGAGAACGAAGTGAATCAGTACGCGGAGCCACCATAGGAAAGAGTGTTAGTGGTCGATCCTTTAGTGTACTATACAACTCAGCATGGTTTGAAACAAAGAGATGTTGTACAATGTTGTACATGCATATCGCAATCTATCATGTACTCCATGTAAGAGTATGGTATAGTATGGTATGTGACTAGTACACATTGACATGAGTAGATATAAGACATTGGTAGAGGCCTATGGCATATGGAGGGAGGAGTAGTTTACTCATTTACTCTGCCTTCGCCTTCGCTGCAGGCTCCCCCAGCATCTGTCAGCAGGTTGCCCTGAAAATTGGAGGAACAGCTGAACAGCACCTGAACAAAATCCAGGAATAGCAGGAATCCCAAAAAGCTATGATATAATTCACCTTGATAGCCGAAGACGTGCGGTCTTTGACCTCAAAACTGGAGCGCCACGGGACTTTAGTCCCAAAATGATCTGAAATGTTCTTTTGGCATCGATCAGAGAAAAATTATGGAACTCAGAGTTTTCAGCCAAACCTGGGATAATTATCACCTATAGGTTAATCAACTCATTGTGTCATGTCTTTGCACATTTGAATTGCGATCTTCACACGGTGCCCGCGGTGCACATGGCTGACAAAGTTGGGTTTCCCAGTTGGCGTGGTTGGAATCACAGAAGCCGGAGCCAAGGAAGGTTAAGCAGGGAGGTTGAGCTATCCTGAAGACCACCCAGTAGTTTCCCGATATTTTCCAACGTTTCTTGCTTCAACCATCATGTTTCATGATGGAAATCAGCATTTGTGTTGGATCTTTTCCTATAGATGTGATAAATCCCATGGAAATCCCTATAAATCAGCTATAAATCAGCTATAAATCCCATGAAATTCTCATAAATCAGCTATAAATGCCCTTTTTTCCCTAAAAATCAGCTCTATTCAACTATAAATCCATACAAGTCCCATGGAAATCTCCACCGAGACCCCCAGGTCTCGGCCATCCTGCCCTGCCGCGCCTCGGCGCCGGACCTGCGGCGGAGTCGCCTGGAGAAGCTCCTGGAGAAGCAGGATGGGATGAATCAACGACCAATATATAGTGATTATACATAGATTATAACTAATTAATTATAGTGATTATAGTGATTATAGTGATTATGGATAATAGTGATTATAGTGATTATAGTGATTATAGTGATTATAGTGATTATAGATAAATATAACTCATTAATTATAGTGATTATAGTGATTATGGATAATAGTGATTATAGTGATTATAGTGATTATAGTGATTATAGTGATTATAGATAAATATAACTCATTAATTATAGTGATTATAGTGATTATAGGTGATAACTAATTAATTATAGTGATTAGTGATGATTATTACGAATTTTTTGTAGATGATGAAAAAGGTGATTATAGATAGTGATTAGTGATCAACAATAAAATCAATAATAGGATCAATAGGTGATCATATTGGTGATCATATTGGTGATCAATAGCAGGATGGGATTATTAAACAATAGGATTCAATAGGTGATTATAACATAGTATATATGTTTTTGTGATGATCAATTATAGTGATTCAATATTAAAGATTACTGATCACATATTCAATAATAGTGATGATGGGATTTATCCAATTATTTTTGTTTATCACTTATTGGATTTCAACAATGAATTGTGAATGAATAATATAGTTATCAACAATAGGATCTATAGGTGATTGACCAACCTTAATATTAATTATGTTGAAGCAGGATTGATTAATCACCTATTGATGAATCACGAATAGTTATTAGTGAATCCAACCATCAAACATTAGTTGACGAAAATATGGTGAATTAATCTACAACTCAATGAGTTGTGAATCAATAATAGGATCAATAACGAATTGTGAATCAATAATGATTTGCGAGTCAATACTGAATTAATCTATGAACCAATAGTGAATAGCCCATTAATAACAGGGGAAAACAATATGTGATTAACCAATCTTGATAGCTTGATTATATTTGTGATAATCACTGGTAATGAAGTGTGATCAAACTATGATCAAACTATGATCAACCTATGATCAATAATATCATGTGACTATTGGTTAATACCAGTATTATCATTATTGGGCGTGGTAAATGTTCCAGGGAATGTTGAACATCACTTCGGGATGAAGAATGAATTGTGATCAAGCTATGAATCTATTAGAATGTATGAAAACTAATATTGATTTTTCCATATTGATTCACCGAAAAATTCTATGATAGTGATGAAAACCAATAGGTGATATCAGTGATATTCGGTGTATCTATTGGTGATCCCATGATTGGGTAATCACCTATTATGATAGTTGACTATCACAATAGGTGATTAACCAATCGTGAAGATGAATTATCATTGATATCACAACATTGGTCAATAGCGAACTTGATTATCTATAGTGATCATAGGTACCCAATAGTGATAAGTACCATGTAGTGATAGTGATAGGTACCCAATTGTTATATGTATGATATATACATGATATATGCATATATATATAATATATTATACAACTATCATAATTCTTGGTAAATTGTAACTGCCGTGATAACGACCTCATTGCGACCTCACTGGACTGGAATGATGGTGAATGTATAGGGGAATGATCCCCAAATGTCATTATTTCAGGTTTGTGAAATATAATTTACCCAGATAATTGGATAGCCAGAGGTAATGATTTTTTCTCACAATTGGGTACTTATTGATAGGTGATTAATACACCAATGAATACACCCAATCAATACATATGATGTTGGTTTATAAACATCATAATTTTGATGGGTGTACCAATGGGTGTGTTAATGATAGGTGTTGTTTGGGTAAGTAATACATTAATTTACCTAATATTGATAGAATAACAATTACACCTAAAAAAGTATACCAACAAATGAATAAAAGGTATTACGTACCAATCATGAATTGCCTAAGAACTATCATAATCAAAATCTTGGCTAATTTACACATTCAAAGATTGGAATAGTGGAACTCTAATTAAATGACAATAGGACAATCCATGAGACAACACGGAGTCTCCTCGCCGCAATCGAATCAGGGGAAAGGTTTGGGGTTATTTACCCTCCGAAGGATTGTAGCAGGATATGGTTGGTTTAATATGACCGGTAGTTAATAGTGGTTTTTTAATGGTAAATAATGGTTCATGGTGATTAATGGATGACTAATGATGATTAATGTGGGTAAAACAATATATGATAAATCACCCATGACTGGGACTAGTTTATACCACCTAAAGAAAATGGTGATGACTGAGGGATGGTTTATGGCATTGTTTTACCCGTAGCCGTAATCGAACATGGCTTGCCGGAACAAGAATGATTGTCTAGGCTTAACCGTTTTTTTTTTCCGCATAGCTTCCCATTTTGTTTCTATGATTTTCCCATATTGTTTGAGGATTTTCCCACATGTTTCTAGGATGTTCCCATATTTTTCCCATGATTTTCCGATCTGCTCCTGTGATTCCAGCCAGGCGGGGAAATCGACCCCTGCTCCTTCAGAGATCAGTAGGCGGTTGATGGTGGGGTGATTTTTTTTGGGGGTTGCGACATAGAAACTTGGAACAAGTCGTCGCACCAATATCATCCAATATCAGATTTCTTATATTACTGTAGTAATAATCGGGGAATAACATGGAATAACTATGATAATATTGGGACTAGCATGTGCATAATATGTTCATTCGCTAATTAAAATGATAATACCTATCATATACTTGATATTCTTAGAATGCAAAATTGATCCAAGGCACTTGAGTAGTGGCTGAGACACCCCGGCTGGTTGTTGATTACTTATTAATACTTTTTGGTGATTGGTCTAGAAGATTCCCATTTTATCCCCATTTTCTCTCCATTTTATCTCCATTCTATCCCAATTGTTTAATGGTTGCACCATCTTTTTGAGGGTTGCCCTCTGGTAATTTAACCGTTTGCGATGGAAAATTGTCCATGTATAGTAATGTATAGATGGTTAAAACCCCATTTATAGTGATTTTCCCCATAGTTTCCCAACATGTTCCTATGATGTGCCCATTAAAACCTATTGCGAATGGCGATGTTCCATCTTTTTGAGGGGTTCATTCCGAACCTCCTCAGGGCCTCCTCGGTTCGCCGCGCGCCACCGGGTGGGGCACCCTACAAGCTGGCGCCGCCCGTGACCGCCTGGAGGGATGGGAAATGTTGACTCTTTCGGAACTACTCTCTGGTAATTTGTTACAGTTTGCTATTGAAGCCATGGCCCATTTATATGTGATTTACCGATCTACCTATTTCCTAGATTGTGATTTTCCATAGCTTGTGATTTTCCATAGCTATGTTAGTTTACCAGATGGTAAATTCCAGGTTGGGGTTGAACATGTTGCCATGTCGTTTACATGGAATCATTTTTGATTAATCTCCTTCCAGTTGAACATGACTTTTGTCCATCATTCATAGGACGTCAATTTATAGATCCATCAAACAATCTCAACGTCAGATTTCGTTTGGGGGGATTTAATTGGATTAACTGCCAGTAAATTAACTCATTTAGACCCTGCCAAATAGGGGGTCGGAAGGTTAGTTTCCACCAGGTTTCAACTAAAAAAAGCTATTTTCAGGGTCGAAGTTCTAATTGGGGAGAGTAAATCTTTCCCATAGATATTTCATGACATTGCTGAAAGGATCCCCAAGGTTTACTCGCGTAACAGGTCAGAGGTCGCAGCCATCGTCAGGTACGGCTTCCCACCGGTGCCTCCAAACCAAGCTCGTTGGGGGCCCTCGAAGGGGAGGCTACACATATATAGCTACATCAGAAAAGTCGAAAAGTCAAGTGACATCAATTTGTGGTTTCAACATGGTGGCTGTTGTGTAGTCTGACTATTCTTATGGGATGTTATGTTTTTTTTTGGGCAACTTACTCCACTGCTGCGAGGAAGATGGGTCAAGATAGACAAGACCCGCAGATGTTTGGGAATCTGAATCTGAACCGTCAATTTCTTGGGATACCCACGTTTTGACCCATAGATTTACCACTAGTCATACCCATTTTATGTTATTAGGTGTAGAGGGAACATGTGCTGGAAAGTATGGTTATTAACCATACACACAGTTATCAACAATCATCAAAAATCATCAAAAGTCATCAACAATCATGAAAAGTCATCGAAAATCAACCACAATTCACAATTATCAAAAATCATCAACATTCATCAACAATAATCAATCATTATCAAAATTCATCAAACATCATCAACATTCATCAACAATTATCAAAAAACATCAACACATATCAAAAACTCATCAAAAATCATCAAACAAATATCACAAATTCATCAAACATCAACAACATTCATCAACAATCATCAAACAATCATCAAACAAACATCAACACATATCAAAAAATCATCAAACATCATCAACCAAATATCACACATTCATCAAAGATCTTTAAGAATCATCAACAATTATAAAAAACATCAACACATATCAAAAAATCATCAAAAAACATCAAACAAATATCACAAATTCATCAAACAAATATCACAAATTCATCAACAATCATCAAACAATCAAACAAACATCAACACATATCAAAAAAATCATCAAAAATCATCAAACAAATATCACACATTCATCAAAGATCATCAACATTCATCAACAATCATCAACAACCATCAAAAAATCATCAACACATAACATCATCAAAACTCAAAGATCATCGTTTTCCTCAATTTTCGTGAAGAATCTTTGGCCAATCTGAGGCATGGTCGACTCACCAGTGTGGCAGCCCGGGGGTTCGATACCCTAAGTCATAGCTGGCTGGATGGCGATTCCCGAAAATATGGTAACAATATGGTAATTTCATAGGTTTTGACCCCTCATGTAAAGCATTATAAAGCCATAAAACTTGGGGGCATATCCCCTGAAACGGCTCTTAAAGATGGGTTATTATATATGTATATATGCATATAGAGAGAGAGAGAGATGAAATGGCCATTGGTATGGTCTATGATGAAAACCGATAATTGCACAATCTGGTAAACCCTGCCTGCCATCAACCTACCGGTTGGGGATGATTGGGGTTAGAATTCCACTTGGAAGTAGGAAGTTATCATGGCATTTGGTTGCTCAGCACATATTTTGGCTGTAGGAATCCCAGTTGATTCGCCGCAACCTATCTTCCGCAAGACCCACACCAAGTGATGCTAGTTCAAGATCCCGAAACTATTGAACTGTGATGCCGTGCGTTTGGAAAAAATCAAATTGGTGTTTGTTTTTCCCCACCTGCCAGGTGAGGGTTGTTAGATTTTATGTCAGTTGCCTCCTCCTCCTCCTCCTTCTCCTTCTCCTCCTCCTCCTCCTCCTCGTCCTCCTCGTCCTCCTTGTCATCCTTGTCGTCCTTGTCGTCCTCGTCGTCCTCGTCGTCCTCGTCGTCCTCGTCCAACTGCGACCCGCGATCCACAGTGTTCTCTGCCGGACCTCAAGCACGACCATCCACGCCCAGTGTTCCCTGCCGGACCTCAACCACGACCAGCCACGCCCAGTGCAGGACCTCAACCACGACCAGCCACGCCCAGTGTTCCCTGCCGGACCTCATCTGCGAGTATCCATGCCAAGTGTTCCCTGCCGGACCTCAACCGCGGGTATCCATGCCAAGTGTTCCCTGCCGGACCTCATGTAGGAAGATATGGGACAAAGAATGCGCAGAAGAAAGTTAGAAAGAATGTCAGAAAGAATGTCAGAAGATATGCCAGAAGATATGCCAGATAGAATGCCAAATAGAATGCCAGAAGATATGTCAGAATATATGCCAGAAGATATGCCAGATAGAATGCCAGAAGATATGTCAGATAGAATGCCAGAAGATATGCCAGATAGAATGACAGAAGATTTGCCAGATAGAATGCCAGAAGATATGCCAGAAGATATGCCAGATCATATGCCAGAAGATATGCCAGATAGAATGCCAAATAGAATGTCAGAAGATATGTCAGATAGAATGCCAGAAGATATGCCAGATAGAATGCCAGAAGATTTGCCAGATAGAATGCCAGAAAATATGCCAGAAGATATGCCAGATAGATATGCCAGAAGATATTCCAGAAGATATGCCAGATAGAATGCCAGATAGAATGCCAGATAGAATGCCAGAAGATATGTCAGAATATATGCCAGAAGATATGCCAGATAGAATGGCAGATTGAATGCCAGAAGATTTGCCAGATAGAATGCCAGAAAATATGCCAGAAGATATGCCAGATAGATATGCCAGAAGATATGTCAGATAGAATGCCAGAAGATATGCCAGATAGAATGCCAGAAGATATGTCAGATAGAATGCCAAATAGAATGTCAGAAGATATGTCAGATAGAATGCCAGAAGATATGCCAGAAGATATGCCAGATAGAATGCCCAAATAGAATGTCAGAAGATATGTCAGATAGAATGCCAGAAGATATGCCAGAAGATATGCCAGATAGAATGCCAAACAGAATGTCAGAAGATATGTCAGATAGAATGCCAGAAGATGTGCCAGTAAGAACATGTATAAATGTCATGGTGGGGATCACACGAAGTAAAGTAATTGTTTTTGAAGCCAATGGCCTACAACATTAAACCCTCTGGCACACAAATTCGGGTTTGTCCCAAACTAAGGGCAACCTGAAGGGCACCTGAAGTTTCACATCGAACTTGGTAGATGTTGGTGAGACCTTTAGGATATACCCCATTTTTTGGACAAGACCTGACAACCATTGTCATCTGATCAGATCCTATTTTGGCTGATGAAATCCAATTAATAGTCCTATGAAAAACCCAATAAGAACCCGAGAAATTCCCATGAAGTCAACTTGATCCATGCTAATCCCATGAAATCCCATTGAACTCCCATTAAATCAACGTGTTTCCATGTTAATCATCAATAGACTCCCATGAAATATAGTTACTCCCATGTTAATCCCATTAAATCAATTTAATCCATGTTAATCCCATGAAATCCCATTTAACTCCCATTAAATCAAGTTAATCCCATGTTGATCACCATCAAAATCCCATTAAATCTACTTTACCCCAGCAAATCCTTGAAATCCCTTGAAATCCCTTGAAATCCCTCTAAATCCCATTAGATCCAATATAATATATATATATACAATGAATATAATAAAATATATTATCATACATACAAACACCATGGAATTCTCATGTTCCCAGCATCACCAATTGAGGTGCTGCCACAGAAGCTTTGCGGTTTCCTACTGCGGAGTCGCAGCGCGACAGAGATTGTTTGAGGGAAGCAGGGCAGTGAGGGGTTGATAGATTTGATAGTTGGGAGCAGTTGGGAGGGCAATTTTGCTGGGGAAAAGGATGGTCATTCGATTGTAGGGGTTTCCAGTATAGCCCCGTAGTGAAAAACAGGTGAATCGCCGCGATTTTCTTGCTATGTTGGTGCCGGGGATAGTGAGATGTGTTGCTTAAGGTATGGTTGCGGTTCTTTGGGAAGTATGATTCTACTGTATGATCCGAGTGATATGCTTATGCTACACAGGCGAATCTGCAATATCCTCAAGCAGTAGATCCAATGGACAGAAGGCTATGACCTCCACCATTGGTGTTTCCACATGCTCAGGTTTGTTGCTGAAAATCACCAGCATTTGCTTCCAAAAACTCCTTTTTTTTTGGTGGTGACATCTAGCTTTTTGCCCCCTAAAAAAAAAAAAACAAACAGCCCCTTAGAAACCATGGGGTTTACTAGGGAAGTTCCACATCATTGGGACCATTTGTTGATGGGATGATGGGATGATGGGATGATGGGATGATGGCTCCAAACAGGTCCCTAAAAAAGACAGAATTGGGAAACCTCCAATCCTCAAATGTGTGAGAAATCACACATAAATTCACACTTGTTCATACCTAGATCTGCTTTTTTGGGGGTGCTTTTTTAAAGAATCCAAACCGTAAACTTCTGTTAATTCCGCCTTAGGTCAATTCATTGCTAAATGTTTTTCTTGTTGGCAGTTTTTCTCGCTGGGGGCTACGTGCTGGTAAACAAACGTGGTCATGCACGCTCCCTCATTTGCAATATCCCTATATAATGACATCCCCGTTGGAATTTCCCCTGTAAAATGATAGAGCTTGGTTCCAGAGGCACCCTTTTTATAACCATGTTTTCTTATCTAGTTTTTTTGTTGGGGCCTATTTTTTTGTAAGAAGCCAAGTTGGGCCCAACCAAATTATACCTATAAAACTGGGCATCCCTTGGACTTCCCCCGAAATTTCATCCTGAATATAATGACTATCTCTACTGATTTTCTCATATTTTCTCAGATTTTCAATTGCCATGTCAGATTAGAAGAGGTACCCTCTGGTAATTTAACATAGCTATTGAACATCACCATTTTTAGTGGGTAAATCGACTATTTCTATGGCCATTTTCAATAGTTATCTTAGTTTACCAGAGGGTATATCCCATAAAATCACTATAAAATCCCATTAAATCACTATAAAATGCCATTAAATTAAATCACTATAATTAGCCACGTGAGATTCCCATTCTATGTCCCGTGGCTTTTTTTTCCAAGGCATCTGACACCCCTGCCGCTCGAGGTCGGTGCCTGCCATCGCGCCGCAGCATCCCGCTCGGGTGGCCCACTGGGATTCCTATGGATTGATGGGGTTGCGATCTTGGGATCTTACCGTGGTAATGACAGGAGGGTACCCTCTGGTAAACTAAGATAACTATTGAAAATGGCCATAGAAATTGTTGATTTACCCACTAAAAATGGTGATTTTCAATAGCTATGTTAAATTACCAGAGGGTAATAGAGGAAGTAACTAAGTACAATATCTGGTTGGTGGCTTGGAACATTTGGATTACTTTTCCATATATTGGGAATTTCATCATCCCAACTGACGAACTCATATTTTTCGGAGGGGTTGAAACCACCAACCAGATATACATCGTAAAATGGGATAATAGCTCTATTGGTAAAATCCTACCATGTCTATTGTAACATAGGGGACCCCCTACAGTTTTTGTTCTATCTATTGGGATTTTAGCAACATGGGATAATACCTGTGATTTTACAGTGGAATATGAATCATTCAAAAACGGAAATTGTAAAATCATTGAGCTATCGATCATTGGACGATTTTTGCAATCATGGGATATCGTGGGTTTGTGATTGACCCATCCAGATAGTTGGTTCCCAATGAATTTTCAGGATGTTTCAAGGATGTCCTTTCATGATCTTTCATGTCCTTTCCATGATTCGTATTTGGCATTGATCATCATTGATCCTTAAATGCTGGTGATTTTTTTGATGAATCGTCCAAATCCAATGAATTTCGTTTCAAACTTGGCTATCGCAAACTATTCCATGGCTCTTTTTCTATCGCATCATGTCCATGGATATCCGATTTCCCATGGGTTTCTTCACCGATTGATGGTCTAAAAACTCAATGCTAAACCCAGGATCCTAAAATGGAAGTACCCTCTGGTAATTTAACATGACTATTGAAAATGGCCATTTATAGCTGATTTACCCATTAAAAATTGTGATTTTCCATAGTTATGTTAGTTTACCAGAGGGTACGTAAACGTACCATATGTTTGGCCATATGAATTGTGGGGATATATTCCCTGAAATTTAGGCCTCAACAATAGGCCGAAAAAATATGGTACCCTCTGGTAAACTAACGTAACTATTGGAAATCACCATTTTTAATGGGAAAACTCACTATAAATGACCATTTTCATCCATTTTCAATAGCTATGTTAAATTACCAGAGGGTACATCCCCATCATGTAATGGCCACCGGGCCAGTTTTTGGGGTCCCAGGAATCTTCCAGTCGCTTGCCGACGGGAAACTCTCGAAAGGTGGGGGCCGAGCGGTGCCTGGGGATCGGCCCCTTTTGTTTTTTTTTTTTGGTTGACCAAAAGGACATCCAAAAATCATTTATAGTTGATTTTCTTAACCAGCTCTAAACGTTGATTTATAGATTGTCCTCTTCAAAGCTCCATTTACGGTGGATTGTCCTGTTCAAACCTCCATCTATAGTGGATGTTCCCATGAAAACATCCATTGATCGTGGAATTGTCCCAGCAAGAAACCTTCTGATCAGCACCTCGCCAGATGATATGTAGGGCCCCTGCTCTTCCCAGGAGTTTGCTGATTGCTTGTGCAACAAAAAATCATTGTGATAATTTTGGACCAAGCAAAGGAAAAAACATAAACATATGATAATATGATATAATATGATAAGATATTGCTGATATTGCCCACCATTGGACCATTGTTTTTTTTACATAATACATCGATCCGCGCCATGTTTTTGACCGTGGAGTTTCCCAGCGATGGACCATGGACAATGGCTCAGGTGGAAGAACAGGTGGGGTCCTTCATCAAGCAGTTGGTGGGCGATGAAGGTCGCGATGGCCGTGGATGAAAATGGAGGGAAGTTGTGGATGAAAGTGGGGCATGACATGATGAAAAAATGGATACTGTTTGCCAATGGCCTATAATCATCTATAATCGTTAATTTCACTAATAACCTTAAAATTCTTTGCTATAATCATAGTCTATAATTCCATAATAATCTGTTAGTCAACGAATTATCCATATGGAGGTTTCCTGAAATAGGGGTACCCCAAGTCACAATGGCTTTCAATATCAAGTCATGGTCTCATGACTTGGATGACTTGGGGGTATCCCTATTTTTGGGAAAACTTCATTTAAAATATCAAATATGATGATATCCAAATCATGGAAAAACAGCACAACGAAAAGCAAAAAAGATCATAAAACACATGTGATTCTGGGATTGCAAGTTTTGGCAGACACACCCATGTGTAAACATATGTTTCTTCATCCTTGAAACAGGATGACGGTCGCAGTTAATCGACTTTTGTTTTTTCTTTGGCGGATTTTTTTGTCCAAACTACGAAGCACTGGGATATCATGAAGAATAGGAGAAGTTGATCAGTTGGATCTACCCTCTGGTTATTTGTCACATAGCTATTGAAAATACCACATTTATAGTGGATTTTCTGATTTTCTCATTAATAGCATGGTGGATCTTTCCATCGTTTTTGTATGTTTACCAGTTGGATCTAGTTCTTCACGAAACATTGGAGCTGCAAAGGATTCATCGTTCCATCATGTTCCGTCCGTCGCAAGAAGGTGATGGCATGTTACACTGGAGACTGGTGAACGAAATGGATGCGATCGATGGATTGATCCAGGCACGGTAATGAATCAATGGAATCAATGGCTTCAGATACCCAAAGTGGATCAAGATGGAGGAACCGTGCCATAGTGGCAGTTGAAGGTTTTTTTTTGGGGATAAGATTCCCTGACATCTAGATCCGAAAAAAACTGGATCTTACAAAGGCTAGGTACATTCCTCCGATGAGCAGAAATGGTTTATTTTCAGGTCATCTATGAAGCGGACAGTCCAAAGTCAGTATGTATATATATATATGATCAGGTGTGGACCACTTTCAGGAGTCCATACCTTTCGTTTTTAGCTATAAGTTATAAGTCTTTTTGTGCTGGCGTCATTGTTTAGCGATATGCAGGGAAAGTATGGAATACACAACGTGCACTACACATTCAAAAGGATGTGATATGATGTGATCATCACTCTTTTAAGAGAGTGATATGATGTGATCCATACTCACTAGTAATCATCCCAGCAACCCCCATTCCCATCCATTAAGCACCAGTAAGAAGAGGATGCTCCCCCCCAATGCCATGCGAAGCTTCGAATATGTGGGTGATCTTCCCACACCATCTGGAGACGACTTGGACCTCGATGGTCGCAGGACAACATCGAGAAACATCGCGCTGCAGAGCAAAAAGCCAGGCGCGGCGTTGCGGAGTTGGCTTCAGGCGCACCAAACCCTGCAATAAGAACAATAGCTTGGTCAGAAGAGTGGATGAGGAGAAACAAGTGTCACTCTTGAGTCTCGCAAAGAGCGAAAGAACAAAAAAAACGATGTGTTCAATTTTTTCGGGGATTGGGTAAACTCGGTCAACTCATTGTATGTGATCCCGGCTGAAGGGGTGACCCACCTGTTTTATGTGCTATTAGCTCAAACCTGTGGTTCAGGTTTACCTACTTCATATGCATTTACAGGCATTATGTTTACAGTATACGGATGGTATATGTTACGAATTAATTTATACTAATTTAGCACAGTTTACATCTGATATACATACATACCTACGGTTACCCACGTAATTGTACGTAACGTATATATATATATATACACAATCATATATATATGTATCTAATAGCATTTGGGATTGGATAATACTTTTGTCTACATTACACTTTGCATCCAGAATTGGATGCAGGCAGCGAACGGTGTTGGAGGAGCAGGTGGGAAGCCCCAACAGAATGGGGGAGAAAACGTGGGGATCGAATGGGGATATGAATAGAATGTGGTTAGTAACCATGTGTAACCGATGATATTATATTGATTGATATTTTGATATGTAGGTGTGTGTTTGGAAAAGGATCATAAACTCATAAACCATCGGAATCGGGGGTAGCCCTTTTTCAAGCAAAGCCATTTTGACCAACACTAATACAGCTTATTGTGAACTTACCCTCTGGTAAACTAACATAACTATGGAAAATCACCATTTTTTCAACTTACAAGAGGGTAGCTGTATGAGTTTTTTGCCAGGATGTAGAGTTCGACCCATTCCCAGGTCACCTCAACAATCACCAGCTTCAGGAAAAATGACCAACAGTTAGCTATTGAAAATGGTGATTTATCGTGGATTAGTATGGTGATTTTCCATCGTTATGTAACAGTTTACCAGAGGGTAGACTAAGACATGGTGAAATCAAGACCCAAAACCCAAAAATTGCAGTGTAGAGGTTTCAAGACAAAAAACCGTGCAGAAACCAATCCACTCGGCGTGGCGGTTTCTTGGAGAGAAGTATCGCTAGATTTAACCCACTTAGGATGCGAAAAAAAACTCGCCGTGGGAGAAACAATGAAAATCAATGAAAGATATGATGTCCTGATCCTAACACATAATCCCAAAGGATGTTCACAGTTTTTTAGGAGTACAGAAACCACCCACAGACTAGATGGCCATGTTTCTCTGGATGTCCTATGTGGATGTTGTAACTGGAAGTGGTTGTTGAAACGCTCTGTGTTTGGAAGAATATGGTGTTTCCTAAAATAGGGCCACCAATCATCCATTTTAATACGTAGGATTTTCTAATATTGTAAATCATCTATTTTGGGGTAACCCCAGGAAATTTTAGGAAACCGCCACATGGCTTTGTGTGAAAATCGAGTACCTCTACGGTTCAAAAAGATCCTTTACCGATTGTTTGATTGCCAATCATGACCATATCGCGTATAAATACCCAATCTATTTTCAGAACAGAATCTGTGGGTAAAATTCTCACATCAGACGTGGCCAACTTAAAATTACTGGGATCTACTGGGATTTATCACCCAAAAAACTCACCGACGAAGCGTGAGCTTCAATTGAAGTATGACCTCACCCAGAACGTCAGCCTAAATCATGATGAGTTTTGGGGAATTGTTGTCCAAAACAATCTAAAAATGTCATGCAAAGTATGCTGAGATTCTATAAATGTATATCAATGTATCATAGTGCCCTATTTTTGGGTTAACATGGTTATATCATTGTCCCCACTTATGTCGGGTTGAATCCCGTCAGTTTCTGAAAATCCCATTGAAATCAACTTATGAATTGGTGAATCATGGTGAATCACCTGTGTTTCACGGTGAAATCTCATGAAATCCACCATTTTTCCATCGCAAAATCATGTGAAGGTTCCCCTGAAATCCACCCCTGAAATCCACCTTCGTTTGATGGTGGATCAAAGTCCCAGGTGCGAGAAGCACGGCAGAAGGCCCGAGAGCCCATGGAGCTGGTGGACAAATGACCCTGGAAGTCCTGTTTTGATGAAGATATCCCGTTTTGTCGGTTGAACTTAAAATCCATAGAAATCCAATGATTGTCCAATAGTTCAGGCTATAACACCATAAAAATCATTAAAAATCCATAAATGGTTAACACATCACTATCAATAGGTTCCAGAACAATGGTTCGCTAGTTGTGTGACGATTGCTTTGTTGGTTCCAATATTATACCTGCGCTTAAATCAGAGGCCAGACGAATTAACGAGGCGAACGAATTCACACCCCCCACGAGGTGAGGCTTTTTGGTTTTTCGGCAAAGGAACGAGGCCCTCGGTGAGTCTCGTGCGAATTTAACGGTTCGATGTTTTTGGAGGTTTGATATCACCAGAAGTCCACTGGTTAGTCTAGTTATGAACCAACTTAGCATCCACAAATCAACTACACATACTACACATCATAGAATCCCTGGTTAAATATGGTTAAATCCTCAACTCATTCAAGTCCATGTTCCAATGGCGGTGACCGGTGACACCGGTTGTGGTGACACCCGTGACCAGGACCAGGACCTGAATTTGTCGCGAATGCATTGGGGAACCCAGATCCAGGTCTCGCACGGGGATGGATCAAGGGATTTACCCCGGGTTCGCCCAGAAACAACACATCCAAACATATCTAAACAATATGATATACTCACCAGAGGAATGGAAACACTGGCTATACGCAGTGATTTTGACTTTAAGTTTTCAGGATTGAGGCGGATTTAGGGGTTTAATTTGAGGTTTAGGATTTTAGGGTTTTAGGGTTTGTTGTTTTGGAAAGTAAAAGATTTAAACCCGCGCAGGGATTTGAGCATGTCGAAGGATATGCGGGATTCGCCGCGGGCAAACCTGGGGTTTGCAGCGAACATGTTTAACAATGGTGGTTTATCATGCTTCAAGAGTTCAAGATAGTTCAATTTTTTCGAAATTGGATCAATGTTACGTAAACCTTGAACATAGGTTCCCAAAACGAACAGATTCAATCAATTTGCCAAGGTTTTGTTTGGATTCGTTTAGTGGGTATTTCCAATGACCAGGAGGAGGCATTAAAATGTTTGAAACATTTCTGACTCATTTGACAGGGCTGCTCCAACCCATTGCCCAGTACTTGGCCCCGTATTTTAGAATATCTATGAACAGATTTTATCTGTTGCATTGACCTGAAATTAGTAGGAACTCACGATTCCGAAGATTTGGGTTGAGCATGGACCAATATTGCATGTCAATTATAGCCACAAGATGCCACAAGGCTGGAAAACTGGTAATTTTGCTTGTGTGAATAGCCATTTCTTCTTGTATTTTGGCTGTTGGGAGAAACCCTGTTGGTTTTGATCAGGCTACGATCAACATTTACACTGAAGAGTGAAGAGTAGTAAAAAAAACCGAGGTCCTTATTTGGGGAAATTGAGCTGAGACTTGAACTATACACACATTGTAATATTCAAAACAATCATCAACCTGGATCACTAAAAATATGATCAAAACAATCATCATTGTAATATGATCAAAAACAAAATCACTAACAATTTGTAAGATTCAAAACCTGGGAAATCAATAATCCAATAAACGATGACCTGCATTGACCTATGACCCTTGGGGTCACATAGGGGTCCCATTGGCCGTTGAGCCATGCCCTGGTTCAGCGGTGTTGTTGGCAAACTTACCCCATGATTTACCATGTTCAAATTCCGGGAAATCGTAAAGTGGTACAAACCATGATATGTCCATTATAATATTGAAATCCAAGATCATTGATTATCATTGATAGATCATGATGATGGTACCCATTATGTTGATAAATCATTTTGAATTCCAAGATCATGGATTATCATGGTACCCAATATATATATATATACGTCGCACATAATACCTATGAAAATACAATTTTTAGAGGGATGAACATCCATTTACCAGCTATTTTGATGTGAACTACAGGGGTACAAGGTTTTGACCCACTGCCATATATATATATATATTACTGAAAATGATCAACATTGATCAACGATCTATCAACAGGGAGGTACCCTTTATGCGCGCGCAGGCGGATGCTGCCCGGCCTGGGCGCCCTGGGGCCCCTGGGGGCCTGGGAAACACCAGCTGCCTGCTTTGGGGTCGGAAAATGGGGTGTAGATCCACAAATTCGCCATAACCAACAGGACAACATGATAAACAACTGGGGATGTATAAAAACCAATCTTGCTATATTTGGGGGGATGAACATCCATTTACCAGTTATTTGGGGTTCACTAGGGTACCAAGGTTTTGACTCATACCCAATTATGATCAACGAGTGGATTTGAGGCTTGATAGGGTTGCCCATTTTTTTCAGGCAAGACTATAAATTAAAATGAATATGTTTGTGTATTTTTGTCATCTGAGAGGTTGGGAAGGAGGGCTGGTGCATTTGTGTTCCAGAGGAGTATCTTTGGGGCCACTGTAGAGAATGATGTACATATATATATATATTATTATATATTATATATATTATATATATACATATTATATATATATTATATATATTATATATATTATATATATTATATATATTATATATAATATATATTATATATATTATATATATTATATATATATTATATATATTATATATATTATATATATTATATATATTATATATATTATATATATTATATATATTATATATATATATTATATATTATACAATATATATATATTAGCGTTTGTGCTCGGGAAATTGGGATGAGGAAAATCGGAAGGTTTGTACTCGGTGATTCATCCCTACAAAGTAGGTTATAACATGTTATAACTACGGATTTATAACTTATAAATACTTATAAGATCTTATAACCCCAGTTGTAAATGGAGTAACCCTATACTTATCCTAGGTCCTACTTATAACCAGGCCCGTTTTTTTTATCACTTACCAAGTGGGCGGTTCAGCCATCAAGTAGATAGCCGTGCCATTTCCCGACCACAAGCGGCCACCAGGTGGCAAGAAGAAGAGAGATTAAAGAAGCTTCGTCAGCAGGAGGCAGGAGACTATTATGGCACCCACCAAAAAAAAATAGGGATCTCAGATACCACACTAATACTGTAGATATCAGATGATATCAGTAGAACATCAGTAGATCATATAAGTTTCCAAGAAAAATCGAGAATTGAATTCCCCTATTGTCTTTCGACTTTCTTTATCCTATATATATATATTTGGGATGGCAATGGTGCTGACCATCCTAGACATACTCTGAAGAATCTGATAAACATGGGAGTGCTACAAACTGTTCTAGAATGGTGGGAAGCGTCAGGCATTTGCTGGAAGAGTCTGGAAGATTCGATGAGTTTTTCAATTTGCTGATACCATCTAAGAACCAGTTTCGCCATATACTTTCACCAACAAAATGACAGGGAACCGCAGGAAATATAAAAAACGGTACTCGCAAATCCCCAGAACACCTGGATCCTTCGTGTTGTTGTTGCTGTTGGCTGCTGAAGCGTGGTCGATTCATCACAAGCCAACACAGCGCAGACCCTGCGGAAGTTCAACGAGGAGCAAGCGCGTCACGCTGAGGCGCCGGGGTTGGCTTGGCATGGGCTTGATCGGTTTTTGGATTTTTGGGATTGGATATCCACTGGAAGATTATATTATAGTCACCATGCTTGTTTGAGTTCACAAATCATGGGACCTTAAATTTCGGATGATAACCAATGATAACCAAATGATAACCAATGATAACCAACATGGTGGTTTGAGTTGAGAAATGCTTTAATTTTGGATACCCTCTGGTTATTTAACATAGCCATGGTATAGATGGCCCATAGAAATAGATGATTTTCCCAGCTAGAAACCTCCATTTATAAGGGATTTTCCATTATTAACCATTATTAACCATTATAAACCATTATTAACCATTATAAACCATTATTAACCATTATTAACCATTATAAACCATGTTCCATGGCTATGTTAGTCATAACCAGATGGTAACCATGGGGCTTCAGCCATACCTTTGTCATACCGTCATGGCCGAGGCCTCGCGTCGGCGCCGCGACGCGGAGGCGGAACAGGTGGCCATGATCGAGCGGGACATGGCGCAGCAGGCGGCGCGGCGCAGCAGCAGCACCGGAACATCATGGAATGATCCATGTGGGGCCCCAGTTCGTTAGCTAAGTTGGTGAATATATTGTATATGGTTATAATTGTATAATAACCATAGTTCTATTATATAATTGTATACAATGGTTATATAATGGTTATACAATGGTTATACTATAATAACAAGTTGGTGTATGATACGCAAATAATTAACTATGTTTATATAATGTTATATACAGTAGATGGGATATGGGGTTATAAACCAACTTATAAATGGGGGGCCCATCCTGTAGGATTTTTGATGGATTTTATGTGAAGAGTTGGGAAAACCCGAAAACATGGGACAATCGTGGGATAAACCTGGGAAAATCATGAGAACATGGGAACATAATAGGAACAGAATGGAACATATGTTGAAAAAAACATGGGACAATACATGGGAAAATGCAGGACATTGTCGATGTTCAATGCTTTTGGTGATGTTTGTCATGATGTTCAACTGACAACAAATCCAATTCACCCTTTGATATGATGGTGGATAGTTAAAAACCCGTTCCAAATTTAGTTTTATGACATCAGATATATGCAATGAATATTCTCATCATCAATCATGTTCCAATCCATGTGAACCTGTTTTTTTCTGAGGACATCCAAACGGCGATTTTTTTTTTGGGACAACCCCCCACGGTTGGTTAGTAGGGACGCCATAAACAGAGGTTTCCAGCCTCCGAGAGCAAGCCTGCCGTGACTTGGAGGCTGCTTTCCATGGGTTGTTAAGGTTTATCTCATTTAAGCAATGCAAAGCAGATACCTGCAATGGAAAGCAAAACAAGCATTTATAGATACTTATAGTCATTTAGTGATGGCTTGTTTTGCCAATTTGACACTCGTTTCTTACTCGTATGTATTCTTTTGCCATGGTCACCATCCCATTGCAGCCATAAATGGGTGTTATTTTACACCATCCCAAGTCATAGGGGATCATAGGGGTCCCAATAATAAACCATAAACCTCATAAACCTCTACTGATCCCGTAATGATCCATTGTTCTCCCATGTTTTTTCCATTTATATCCTGATTCTTCCAATGATTATCCCATAGTATCCCAGAAAGCAACCTGGTTTTATACATTAAAACCCCATCTAAGTATAGCTATATCATGATAGATTCATATAGATTCCCCATTTAAAACATCATAAATCCAGTTATATATATATATTATATTATAGTGTAGTTATATGAACCAATATAAACCAACTCAGCAACTTTATCACCTTAGAATCACTATAGATTTGGGGCTTCCACCGATGGCATGACAGGCCTTGGACGCGAAGCGCCGCTCCGAAGCCGCGGAGGAGCAGCGCAAGAAGAAGCAGCAGGCGTTCGGCCGCGGTGGCGCTGGCGTTGGGCGGTTCTTTGGGGGTCCGAAAATCGAGGATTTGACTGGCAAAATATTTCAAAATATGGCAAAATGATGAACAAAAACAGGACAAATTGGAAGATTCAGGCCAAAATTTGGATTTAAGCATCAAAGATGTGGGATTTCACAATGAAACGTTGGGGTCAAGCGACTTAAACTTTATTTTTTTGTGTAATGCACCATCAAAGATGCTGGATTTAGCCATCAAACATTCGGGCATGGCGAATGTTTAGTCATGGGGAAGTATAGATGTTTGGAATTTTTGGTATTGCAGTACCTCTTGTTTTTGGCAGAATGAATCAAAATGAGGTCTTAGACATCTTGAGACGGTGCGAATTTTGGGTACCATCCATTTGAAAACACGGAGAGTTCAAACATGACCAACCGCAGTTGGTTTTAGGTTTGCCACAGCGCTATGCATTTGTACATACTTGTACCCTTCATGGTCATTGAATAATACCTGCTTTGGGTTCAACCTGGCCGGTTGTGTCTTGGAGCAATGAATCTTCCAGGTGTGCCAACACTGTTTAATTTCCTCCAAGAGTCTTTGATGATTTGCAGCAATGTTAATTAGGTCAAGTATGAGATAAAAATTATGAACATATGCTAACTTATCTCAACCTATAAACTAGATATGCCTTTGATCAAAAGCTCATACCACCGGTATTTTTTTTCTGTTTCTCCTTGGGTTGGATGAAGGAACATGTTACCGGAAACCTCCAAAAAAGCAGAAAGAAATATGGGTTTCAAGTTTGAACTGTAAATGTTCCCTCAATGTGGTAAAACCAATCAGAAATCTATGTATGGAATATTGAATAATATATCTATCATATTCCGGTACACTAAGTTAATTACTCTTACTGCAAATGTGTAATATACCATCATGACTTATTATACCCATATGGTTGGTAAATTAACATAAAGGTAAATTTAACTGTAACCAATATGGTTATATAGTGTTATTGGTTCATTAACATACCTTCTCAATGAGTGGTAAAAGACCATCATCCCCAAATGCTTGGTTTACAGTGGCCACCAGGAGATGGCGCGGCAGATGGCCGATGCGGCCAAAGAAGCGGCGGAACAAAAGGCGGGGGCGGAGCCGCTATGGAGCTTGGCTCATTGAGTTATTGGGACATCTCCATAACCGGGGGGGGGGTAACTGGGGATGAATTGATTTAAGATAATTTAACTATGGAGATAAGTTCGATTGGAAAATCACAATTTTTGTAGCTGGGTAGTTATCAACTATTTTGACATGGCAGTTTTCAATAGCAAACTGTGACAAATTACCAGAGGGTATGGAGATATTTCCAGGATTCCCCAGTTAGTTCTTGGGATTGAACTGATTTAAGATGAAACGATGCAAACTTGGAGGTTGAACCAAAAAAATCTGGGAATCTATTGAATTGGCCGTGTGTTACAGTAGCCTCACGTTATTTTTGAAATGGGATGAAGAGAAAATCTACAGGAATTATATGGAATTATTCCAATTTCAATGGTTCAAAAACAACATTTGTGAAAAAGTTATAGGAACATATGTATGTTATTCTTTCAAATCGCATCTACAACATCCTAGTTTGATCCTATCCTCAGAACACAACCCGCTTGTAAAACAGGGGGAAAAAGATGTCAGGATAAACATACGTATTAATCTTGATTATATCCTGGCATTATAGTGCCCATATAGGTGACAGTTCTATAATTATATGGTCAGATTATCACGATTTATCATAGAAGAGGGTGTTTGTTTCAAAGGGTGGTGTTATTTGCTGAGGACAGACATCTGACACTTCTGACAGTCCTGGTTTCACATGTGGAACTCACAACGGAACCTGCACCTATAGTCTCTAGATGTGTCTAATGTAATGTGGTTAAAACATGTTAAAACAATAATAAACTACCCATCTGATCTATAAAAATGGTGATTTGGGGGATGGTTTCCGGCATTGTTTTAACCACATTAGTAGCATTCTTGATACAACTGTCCCTCAATCAGACGGGATCGGTGCCTATCAGTCAGGATGGTTCGGTGTTTTTTTCTGTTGCGGAGCAACTGTTCCCAAGATATTTGGTTGAGTCATAGTCCTCTTACCTACGTTTTTTACTTTTTTGTTGGCTCAGATTCATACTATTCATATCCCCATTATCTTTGGATGCGATCTTTATTCATCGTCATTCCTGGCAAAATGTTTCTGCTCATTAGGGCAAGACCCAGATCTATGACACCATATTGGATGCTCAAAAGGGCAGCAGGGTTTTGATCGAGAGCCATTTGGACAGGTGCTGAGAAAGCAAGCAGAAGCGCAGAAGGACCTGGAACATGACGATGCATGGGTTGGGATCGACATGTTAGTTGATGTTGACGGCCTATGATACACATTATGTGTGATGTGTGATATAATTTTTACATGCCTCCAACATCTTGAGCCAATGAACAAGTGGAGAAATTGGATATCAACTATTCACAGCAATAGTCTAGTCCGAAAGCATCAATGCAACTGTAGTAGGTTGCAACATGTTCTATACGAAGTCCAGGGTGTTCTATTCCCAGGCATTTGTGTAGCACCAGCCAACTTTGACCCATTTGGGAAGTGCAAATTACAATTTTAGAAACTCTTTTTGGATTGATTCTACAGTACCCGATTGCTACCCCCTGGACCAAAGTGGTATTTTTGGAATGGATTGACACTAACAGCATGCTTTACTAATCAAATCCCAATTTTGCTGATTAAGCTCTACCATGCTCTACTCTTATATGTTGCTCCCAAATTTTCCCTGGATAAAACCTTTTTTTTTGGTCAATTGGATAAAACTGCTTTTTTGGTCAAAAAGATCATGTTTCTTAGTTTAACACCATTTTTTTGTGGACCCCTACGTCTCCTGGCCGGCGAACCAGGACATTGCGATGATGAAAGCTCAGATCGTGCGGTGGCTCAGGGGATCCGATTTTTTGAATTCTGCAGGACTATTACTGGATTTCATATGAATGCCTGGCAGATACCCTCCGGTAAGCTAACATAACTATGGAAAATCAACATTTTTAATGGGAAAACTCACTATAAATGGCAATTTTCAATAGCTATGTTAGTTTACCAGAGGGTAAACAAAACTGACACTTCGAAATGCTTGGATCATTTTGGAGCCCTTCTTGAGTCAAATTCCATTTGGCCATCCCTCGAAACCGAGGCGGTGATGGAAGAGCAGGAGCGGCAACGTCCCTTGGGCAAAGATCCACTGGGCCGTTGGTGAGTTCATAGTTCACCCTTGGTACCCCGTAGCACTGATGCACTGTAGGTTTTCACACCACTTTCTCCAAAGCCTGTCCAGTGGTTAAAGGGCAGCCGAGGAGCTATGGGTATCTTCCCTACATGGGGAGCCAAGGAGCTACGCAGAGGGTTGACCCCCAATCAGGGGAGACACCAACAACAGGTTAGCTTCAAATGGCAACCGAAATCGCCAGTGGGGGGTCAAGAAGCAGCGTACGGTGGCCGTGCAACGTTGCACCACTAGCACTTCACCAGACTTGTTTCCATGGTTGAGATTTCCTGTTTGGATAATTTTGGATAATTATACCATATTATACAATATTATACAATATTATACAACCCTGCATTATAATAACGGTTGAAACTCTGACAATGGACAACATGGTCATTTTTGTTTGGAGAAGAAACATGTCGCTTTTTTCGGGATTGAGTCCCAGCTTCGTCCAGGACATATTGAAACACCAATAGTTAGCCACCCAATCTGCCACTGTGTCAAGGCATTTGGTGAGCTCAAAATTGGATGGTTTACTATGGTTTACTAATGTTTACTACTCGCTCCGAAGCATGACCACGCCATTTGTGGATTGGAGGTCTTGAGTCTTGAGCCGTACCTATACAATTCGCCACAGGTGCTGAGTCCTTCCAGAGAATGAAAGACAAACAGGCACGGCACGCGAACACAGGGTGGTCGACTCTTGCATAGCTATGGCCTAATATTCGTGTGTCGGAAATTGATACACCCCCAAAATGGCTGTTGAACAGAGAACATAATCCGATGAAGCCATGGATTTAGCGATGCTTTCAGACAAAGCCACAATTTGTTTTTCACAGAGAATTGGATCAAAGCGAGTCCAGCACCAAAACTGTGCTGGCTGACGTAGCACCCGGTCATCACCGAGGCTTTTTATTCTGTGGCTGCAATTGTCCTCCATGGTTTTTTCGGTTCACCAGGATGTTGCTCTGGCCACATGTCCACGTTGCGTTGCAGAATGTTGCAGATACTGATTATATCTGATTATAGCATATACTGATTATATCTGATTATACTGATTGAATGGCAGAAGTTTTACAAACGATCCTGTGATATCCTGTGCCTATTTGTTTTGTCTATGAATGGCAGAGGTGTGTCTTTTCTGTTGCAGGGGAAGGCGCAGGCGCAATACGAGGCAGGGAAAGCAGTTCAGGAGCAGATGAGTGAAATACTGTATATTTATATTTACATTATATACTATATATATATATCATTATATAATACTAAATATTGAAACCCGTGGACTGAAGGCGAAATCGCAAAGCAGATGGTTCCTAAACATGCCTCCAAGTATGGCTCCAAGGCTCTGGCTCTCCAATGATTTTCCTTAGGACCTTTTGATTGGAGTACGCTTGTCTTTGATGGACTGGAACCAGCAAGAAGCACAACATACTATGCTACTATGACCAGTTTTCCTTTGCTGTGGCTCTCATTGAGGTGTCCACAATCGTAGATTGAAGATGTCTGAGAAGCCTGGGTGAACCTTGGGTACCCTCTGGTAATTTAACATAGCTATTGAAAATGGCCATTTATAGTGGATTTTCCCATTAAAAATTGTGATTTTCCATAGTTATGTAACAGTTTACCAGAGGGTAGGTTAGAGAAACTGCTGAGTTTTACGCATGTTCGCTACAAGTAATGGGGGAATTTTTCATACTCCCAGCCCATCCCAGCCCCTTAAATGAGTCACCGGACACCGGACACCCGACGCGTTTCTATCATTTTTCCAAATGGGTTTCCCCATGGGTTTTCCATAGACAAATGTGTCCAGTTTCCAACAAAAGATGTCCTTGATCAAGCCTTGTTATCATTTGTTATCCGTATCATTCTATATCTGATCACTTTCCAAATTCATCCATATTCAATACATGGATTTTCATACTCAAGTCTTAAATATATATATATAATTATATGACCATTTGCCAAACATAGTTGACAGAAGTTTTGTACTAGTTGGCAAACTGTCATATATATATGATATATATATATATGATATATATATATATGATATATATATATATATGATATATATATATATAAATATAAATATCCGGATGTTACTAGTAACAATCAATTTCGAAATCACTTCGGAGTTTCCCATGCGCCAGGCCAATGCTGGCAGCGAGCAAGCGAGGCTTCGGAAGGAGGAGCCGTTGCCGATGTTGGTGGCATTGAACATGGGATGTAGGTTGGATGTTTGTGGCTGCCTTTAATGGAACTCTTAATGGAACTTGAAGCTGGGATTCTTCAGATTTGGATGTTAGAGGAGTAAAGATTCCATCTTGGGCTACAGTAATTTTGGTCCACACCTGTATTGATATCCCATATCATTAATATTCATTAATTATATACTGACTGTATCCAACCATTGGTATTTAAGTAGCCCAAATTGGGATTTGACCAAACGGGTTTGTCCGGAAATGGGGAAAAATTGCCCTCAAGTTTGCAATTTTAATGGTATCATGATTGTCTAATCCATTGCAGTTGAGGGTATGCCAATTTTCATACAAACCCATCTAGGAAATGGTTGGCTAGGTTGAGCCCAGTTGCTGTTCCAGATTGTTCGATAACATGGATTATCAATGTCATTCAATGTTCCGTTTCAACGCGCATGATGTATTGATATGGTCCTTCAAGGTAACAAAGGTTTAGATGTTGGTGACAACCTCTGACAAGTGGTATGTGGGATGTCCCATGATACACCACAATAAATCAGTACGGCACTAGCTAAGTGTCGCATCCCACAGTGCTGCAGCTGTTGGGCCTTTCTGGTAATTTAATATGGCTATGGAAAACCCCCATTTGTATCCATTTGTTTATAAAATACTGTAGCGAAATCATTGTACCCTGGAAACGAACAACAAAGGGCCTTATCATTAATTTGTCGACTTTCATCTCCAAAGTAAAATTGCAGTTGTATATGATCCCTTATCATTGGTAATCATATCCAGAAGGCGACAAAAAATATTAGTTACCCTCTGTTTATCAAACATGGCAATGGAAAATCCACCATTTAGGTCACTCAATTTTACCATCAAAACACATATTAAAACCTGCATTTAGTTCAAGGATTTCCCATTGCCACGTTTGATTACCAAAGGGTATATCCATGAATTATCCATTGATTATCCATTGATTATCCCCAGATAATACGGCCGTCCAGTCTTCGCTGCCCGCGCCATGTTGGCCTTGAGCCTCTCCTCTGCCGCGGCTGCGCCCAGCGCGCCACAACCCCACCCGGGCCCCGTGGGCGCCGGCCCCGGCTGCAGAGGCCACGGCATTGGCGCCGTGGCTGGCGGGGTGGTCACTGGGCGAGACCATGAGTTGATGGGTTGGAAAATTACACCCAGACTGGCCAACTTTGATGGGGGACAACTGACAACTTGATCATTTGCCCAGAGTGACTTGTAAATGTTTATCGCTTCTGGTAGTAGCCATTTTCTGATATTCATGATATATGGTATGGTTCCTGTTTGCCTCCATTTACTGAAACGAGCAAAACCACCTATTCATGTGTGTGTAACTATATTTAGTTGCCTTCATTTAGAACTCAAACTAAATCACCCCTTCATCCATCGATGTTTACAGTAGTTTGTACCTTCATTGAAATATTGCAAACCAAATTAACCGATTTACATGTAGATATGCCATGATATGCCTGGATATACATAATTCTATAACAACCCCAAGAATTTGCATAGAACAGGTTCAATTCATCAATCATTAAGGATTGGATTTCTCTCCTTTAGGTGCATCCCCACGGTGGTCACCTTTCCCTTCGAGGTCCTCCTTAGCGCAGCCCGCAGCACGCGAAGTCGGCCTCTGCGAAGTTGTCTTCGCGCGGAGAAGTCGCCAGAGATCAAGGGACCCAAGGTGAAGCCACCGCCAAAAGTGGAGCCGCCATGGGAAGCCAGCCAGGAGCACTGGAAGTCTTGGCATTTTGTGGCGTTGCAGCCTGGGATTCCCTTGAGTATATCTTGACTTATCTTGGTCTGGGACTCACCATTGATGTTTAGATGTGCCCATAATCACCACAATCCATGAAATATACTTATATCTGGTTGGTGGTTTAGAACTTTTTTTTATTTTCCATAATTTTCCATAATATATGGGATGTCATCCTTTCCATTAACTTTCATATTTTTCAAGATGGTTATTGCACCACCAAGCAGTATATCATATCCCTAACCATTTAGTGTGACCAGGCCCCGGAGCCTGTTGCTTGCATCAATCCGCTCCGGTTTCAGCATCAAACTCATCAGATCCAATTCACTGGGATTTCGTGCCAGTCCAGAGGTAGTGTACATCGAACCCCAATCAATGGTTTGGTTTAAGGGAAAATCTATTGGAAACCATAGATTTTCCCATTAAATATGGGGTTTTCCTGTAAATTTTCCCTTAAACCAATCCATTGATCAAATCAAAAATCATCAAAAATCCCACTGGTGAATTGTCCAAAAACCCATTTTTGTCGAAAGAAAGGCCACGATTTACCAAGCGAACCAGGAGCTTGGTGTTACGGCGCCCGTGGGATTCTTTGACCCCATCGGCCTTGCGCCCAAAGACAAGGCGGGGGAGTTTTCAGTGAACGACCTCAAGAAACTGGGATGGTTCCGTTGTTCCAAAAGTTTCCAAAGGTTCCAATTCAAAGAGCTCGCGACCTGGGAATATTCGGGCGATTTGCATCGATTGCCAACTCCAGGTATTCTCCCAATATCCCAAGTTATATTAATTAATGTATATTACTATAGTATATGTAACCGTCATTTAGCGATAGGAATCTTATTTTTTTCAACGGTGTTGCATATCCGCTTGAATCTGAATGGATTGCATTGGATTTCCCATCATCAGTTGTACAATGTACACACATCGTTGTTGGTGATATCCAGTGTTTCCATGGATATTGAAATGGTTTTGAGTGCTTGTACCTGCTTTGATACAGTAGCACTTTGCTGTGTTTGCTGATGCTACATAAACGCTGAACAACATATATATATACACATACACATTGAATATTATACAATATACACGCATCATTACATCTAATTATATATATATGTAGAGAGAGAGAGAGTCTATCAATGTCCTTGCAACGAAAGGAGACCTTCTGCGAGTACCGCGCCTGTGAATTGAAACATGGCCGCGTGGCAATGATGGCACCTGGCCGCGCAAAGGGGGAGAGAACCAACAAATATGGTTACACTGTTAATTGGAAATAATTGGAATATATACTGTTAATAATGGTTACAGTAAATATGTGGTTATTATATGGTTAATGATGCTTTTCATGGGGATTTAGCCTCTGGTTATGACTAACACTTCGCCATGGAAAGATCCACCATGCTATTAATAGGTAAAAACCATCTATTTCTATGGGCCATCGAAATCCCATGGCAAACTGTTAGTCATACCCAGAGGTTTTTTTTTTAGAATGTTGGATGTGAAGCAGCACAAATGTAAATGTGGGATTGGAATGACATGGATTTGCTATGGTTTATGTCATTCCAATTTTCCATTTGCAGTATACTATGGATATGACAATCAAATACATAAATATATGATATGGTTATATATGTATGTTTATGTATTTGATTTCCAGTTTTTGGGTGATGATCATCGCCTTTCGGTCGTAGGTCGATCCCATGGCTGAACTGAGGCATCAATTGGTGCGGTGGGGCAGCACTTTCTGCGCTTCCCGGGCTTCGAAAAAACCCAATGGGGCGAAGAGATGCCGTCGGGGGTCATGGCAGCCTTCAACAACCCAGGCGATTGCGTTGGGCGGAGCAGTGGCTGCTAAAGTCCTGTTGATTTGTTACTTGATGAGAATATGATATAACTTATAACCAGAATAAGGGGTGTAAGAATTGAATATATCAGGATATACTTAAGACGTGATGGTTGGTTGATGATTAATTATAGGGGGTTGCTCCAGCAACATATGGTTTTCAACCAGCAAAACAAGGTGGTATCATTGATGAATTGTGGTTGCTTGATGTTCTTGGTGGATGATGATCATCATCGCATAACTGGGAAATCCCATCCTGAAGCAAAAACTAGAAGGTAATAACAGAGCGTTTTGAGCCCTGATCACTGGAATATGTTCCCGTTCCCATCCCAAATGATTGGAAAATTACGCCCCAGTCACTTAGTGGTTCATAACCCTGATGAAAAGACGTCCTAGAATCTTGTGTCATTCCATTTATAAAAGGATGAACTAACCCCACAAACTGTGCCACACACCAATCATTTACGAGTCGTGGGGTTAACTCTGGCAGGGTGGACTTGAAGGGTTCAATACCAGAGGGTTTATCTCCGGTTTAAAAAGTTTTATCAGTTATGAATGAGCAATCTCTTGAAATCTCTTGTGGATTCGTGTTGATGTTACCCTGTGATACACTGTGACCATTTTTTGATTTTTTTTCGTAATTGCCGATGTTTGATGATTGGAAGCCTATCCTATCGCAAGTTAGATTGCCAAGGGTAATTAATCCTCGTGCTTGTCTGATTTTACCACTATCTTTTTACCTTTCTATGTTTCTTCATGGGTTAAACCACCATTTACTGTAATCCCCGCTTCATTCCCAGAACGCAACAGCTTCATTGACAAAATGACAGAATTGAAGGAAACTATCTTTCCTGACAAGGTTTCTGAATTTGGGTGATGTCTCCCATAAAATGCCAATGTTGATTATCGCTGATGCTCCCCTTTTGTTGGTTCATTCGCAATGGTTGGTAACTTGATCATCTGAATCATGATATATAAGTTATAAGGCAATGGTCCCTCAATGTTAATTTAATAATAATCAATTATGTTATCCTTGTTCCAATCATGATGCATCCATGTCTTGTTTGATGATGTGTTTGCCATGCCATGGACCATTCATGCGGATGGTTGGATGATTTTATCGTGCTAAATTCTAAATCCGTCTAAGAAATCCATTAAACACATCTAATATATATATATTTATAATTATATATAGACGGAAATCCACACACATCCATTGGATTGTTCCTTTCTTTTGATGGTGAACTATGATTTTCATTCCCCACGTTTTGCCCAAGGGAGCTTCGGCTTGGTGCTTTTGTCGCTGCTGGCGGGTCTCTTGGAGTTCACCGTGTGGAGCGAAGACTACGCCACGAAGGAACCGGGGAACTTCGGGGATCCCTTGGGGCTCAAGCAATACACCGAGGACGGAAGGGAGATGGGGGGATGGGATGAGGAGATGTTGATGATTGAAATTGATATAGGATATAAAGATGAATATGATTGAATATGCATATTAATGATGATACTACTTTATACCTTCTTTATATCAACTTAAATCTACTTTATATCTACGTATGTATATATATATATGTATATTATAAATGTGTATTATGTGTGTATGTCGTCATGTGTATTGCACATGTCAAAGCTGTCGGTCGTCAGGACATGCGCAACCAGGAGCTGAACAACGGGCGCTTCGCTATGGTGGCCATCCTGGGTATCGTGGCTGCGGAGCTGGTCACGGGCAAAGACGCCGTGCAGCAGCTGGGCTTCTGACGAGGCCCCGGAAGGGAAGGGAAAAGCTGCGGTGAATGGAAGAAGAAAAATATAAAAATGGGGAGATGTTGAAAACGGATGTTTCACGGACTTTCTAGATAGTTGAATTTATATAATTTTATATACATATGGTAATCTTAAACCAACTGTTGACCACTTTGATGGATCTGTATGGACCCCTGTGACAGGGGTCAGACGATGATGTACCTTCCGGGCATCCAACATACTCGTAACAAGGGGAAATTATAGGAGAAAGTTCGGCTTTAATGACTTGGAAAACGTGGAGTGAACAACATAATAATAATAAGTAACATCCAGTAAGAAGACTTCCAATCTGTGTCAATTTGGATGGGTTCGCTTCGCTACAACCAACGACGCTTTGTCAGATCTGACCTTCCCAGCTACCTTTTTATGGCTGCGGGGATTTCCCAACATCTTCCATGTTTGACAACATCAAAGGGTAGTGTGATGAATGTGTGCAGAGTTTGAAGCAAATTGGTTTAGTTTGTTTCCTGGGGAAAACCGACTGGACTTTTGCTTCGAAGGACACTGGAAAAGTGACACTGGAAGAGTGGCCATGTGACGCCAGCAATTTTCGCCTCGACCGACGGGCGCGACATCGACATCGATTTGAGTGGTAGAAAATGCATGCTGCTACTGAGTGTATTTGAATTGATTCAAATCAGTGGTGATAACTTTGAATCCTGAATAATCACTCAATGGGATGAATGGGACTTAATTATCTAATAATATATATATATTAATGATTATTCATGTATATTGATGTGATTTATTATGATGTTTTATGTAATGATAACCAATCATGGTCTAGTTCCAGGTGTATTGAAAGGTGGATGCAACAGAGAGCAGATACCAAAAAGAATGGCAACATGTTCCACCACAGCAACAGTTCCAGCAACAGTTGGTCATGTTACATACTATTTCTGGTTGCTGGTTTGGAACATCAATTTGTATTTTTCCATATATTGGGAATGTCATGATCCCAACTGACTTTCATATTTTTCAGAGGGGTGGCTCAACCACCAACCAGCTATTTTCGGGTGGAACCTTTCTTTTGAGACATCCAGTGGCGTGTTTTCCGAGTGTTCATTCGTTCCCAGTCCTGAATAACGTGTGCCCCAGCAGATCCACAAAGACATGGCTGCACCGGGAAGATGTTCCTTTGTTTTGATGTTTCAGGGGCAGGGTTTGATGTCTTTTTGCCGTGAGTCTGACTCATAGCCCAATGACTCGATGGATTTAAGGGGTAGAAAAAAAGCCGGCAGAAGACGTCCAGAAAGTCCTCCAACTCACCACTTCGCGTATCTTCGCGTCGCCGCGGGTACCAACGGGTTGATCAATGACCCATGTTGGAACTGGGCATTTTGAAGACCATCTCTGGCTGCCACTGGATGTTCCAGTGGTCATTGCCCATCAGAAGCCGCTCTTCTGAATTGTCGACCTTCTGGCATGGCGAATGACTGGCTCAAGTGGTTCTTGCTGCGGAGATGGTACACAAAGCATTTCACCGGATATACCCTCTGGTTATTTGTTACATAGCCATGGAAAATCACAATTTTCAATAGGTAAACCATCTATAAATGGGCCATCTATACCATGGCTATGTTAAATAACCAGAGGGTAATATGGATATCGACAGCAACTATGGTCGGCTAGTGGATCTAAGAATTCCATGATATGCAATGTATAGAGGCATCAATTTATCTAAAAAAAATGGCACCCCAAAATCCAGTTTATCACCATTTTCCCAAGTAAAAGGACTACATATTTTGATCTATTTTGGGGGTGTCCCCCGTGTTCAGACGAAGTGTTTGCCTGTTCTGTGGGATGTTCATCCCTTTGATATCACAGCTGGTGGACACGAGTTAACTACCTAGCTGACAAGCAACTGGAAGGTTGCAGTGGGATATATTCGGTATATGGCTATAATTATTTAAACACACATTATAGTGTTAATTTACTATATGATAGGGTAAATTTAATCATTCAACACATGAAAACTTCAACTTGATCACCCATGTCCGCCCCTTAAAACAGCCACGCCATGTCTGAAATCAGAGACGACAGCATGAACCAGCCCACTGTGACGGATCCTCCCGATGCGGTGACGTGGGAGTGGAGCGCCGTGCCTCGGGTTGACCTTGGAAATGTCAGTTTCCCACGGTCAGACATGGATACGATGTGATTTTCAGGGCCTACCCGGCCTGGTAAACATACAAAAATCTATGGAAAATCACAATTTTCAATGGGAAAATCCACTATTTCTATGGTCATTTTCAATTGCTATGTTAGTTTACCAGAGGGTATGTTTAATTTACCAGAGGATACGATGTGTTTTTTTTCAATTATGAGATATAGCAATGTCAGAATTAACATTCAAATAATATTCTGAATGTGAATATATATATATATTGAAATGTGATATATTTATGATATTGATAGTGTTATGATATATGTTGATATTATGATCAGGTTATACTATGATATATATATTATTATGATATGTGATATATTCTGATGATATTATACATGAATTAACACATAACATTATATAATTATCACATCACTGGTCCTTTGGGCTACAAGCCCTAGTGTTTGATGTCTTAGCATGGGACCATCTTGTCAACTGATGTGTTCGGCCGAGGTGGGCCCGGTGGGTCCCATGCTCTTTCTAGCGAACCTCCAACAAAAACAGGTGGGTAACTTCCCCGGGAACCAAACACCAAAAAGGAAAATGTCCCGCGTTGAAAAACATGTGTTTGGGGGTTGCAATATGTTACAATAAATGGTGTTGTTTGAATATATATATATATATATATGATACCCCATTTCATCCGCTAGCTTACCTTCATTTTCCCGACATTCTAAATGGCCACAAATGGGGTGTATACCTCAAGATCAGAGACCAAACATATAAAACCAACCTTTCCAGAGTTCAACCTGTTCAAAGTCATGGGGGTTACTACGGATTACTTCATATCTACTTATTACAAGTACACAACCGCCGTGACTAGAGGTGGTCTATGTGCTGGTGATGCTGGCCGTACTCCTCAGTGTCCACATCCCCCTGGAGTTGCGCGGTCGCATGAAGTGGGAGAAGATCCGTACGGAGCACGTCGTGGAGAGCGCGCGGCCCGCCTTTTCCACGCAAAGTTTGTGTCTTTGGAGATTCTTCTGCTGCCCGGCTGAAAAAAAGGAGGGACAGTTTCGGATCATGAAAAGGGGAGATAATTATTTGGAGTTTTCACATGGCATTTTGTTTAAATGGAGATATAATATGATATAATGGGTATATAGCATGTAGTATAGCATATATGTCGAATGATGTCCAGATGCTATAGTTTTTTTTTCAACACTAGAAACGGGATGATCATCCCGACTGGCGAGCAGCTCAGGTTTTGTAGTGGTGGTCATGACGGACGTGGTGATTGTCGACTCTAGTGCAAAGGGCACGTTGGTGAGAGGCGAGCTGTGCAAGTCTCCAAGTTGACCAGAAAACCATCTGAAGAAACAAAAGGAAATGGAACGTGATCCTGGATGTAAACGGAAAAGTATTTTTCAAGGGTCTGTTTTGTCAAAAATCAATTATATATAGTGTTCATGGGTGTATTGTGTGGGGCAGGTTGTACCTTTGCTACCCAGATACAATCGCAGTCTTTCAGAATCATTCAACGAACACTTGATATACAGGTGATGATATGAGTAGAACCGAGTTTTACAACTGCCCAGTTGAGCATCATTTTCCCCTGTGTGAAATTGATCTGCTTTGGCACATCACTGCTAGTTGTCTCCCAATCAGTGATGGTGATATTATGTGATATTCCCTTTTTTCATGTGCCATGCATCAAGACATCAAACCAAACGATGCAAGCAAGGTAGATCATCAATATCATCAAATCTCAGACCTTTGGACAGTTCTTCCATCATCATCATCACCATCACCATCACCATCACCATCATCATCATCATCATCATCATTCATCATCATCATCATCATCATCATCATCCTTAAAGAATCTATAGATCCTTTAGTATCCTTTAGTAATCAATCCTATCCTTCTAATATGGTCGAAAAAAAAAAAGGTCACTCCCCAATTTCTCTTCACCACTTTGGTCCGCGCCTGGCAGGTGGTTGGATCATCTTTGCCACGTTCACCATTTGGAGCTGGTCCTTGATCGGTCTCTACATGCTCTTGAGCGGTCTCATGACTTTAGCAGCTCGGTTTCGGTTTCAGGGAGCCCGAAGGCTTCGAAGGGGCAGCAACAGGTTGTTCGCACACACACACATGTTTATAAGCTACATTATGATATTGAACGGTAGGTGATATTTATCCTGAAACAAACATATTGGAATAATTTGGAATATATATATATACTATTATATATATACTATTATATATACTATTATATATACTGATATATATATATATATAGGATTGGACTATTTCTCCTGAAATGGACCGCCCATGAAACAAACACGCCGCCACGCTGTCGTTTAGGCCACCCGTTTTGGTAACTGGAAACCCAGCTCTGCTGGCCGCTGCACGGCGATGTTGTGCCGTTTGGTGTGGTTGCTCTTCGAGGACGGCAGATGGTTTCTTTCATGGAAAATCAATCTATAAATGGATGCGAACTAGGGGGTATCTGGGTAAAACAATGCCATAAACGCATATAAACGCACCATCCCCCAAATCACCATTTTCTAGGTGGTATGTTTACCATTCCCAAATGGGTGGTTTATTATTGTATTACTGTACCCGCATTATATTGTATCCTCAGATGATCAGATGGTTACTTTAATTGGGACACTGATGATAATCCAGAGGATTCTTGGGTACACTATTTTTCTGGTAAATTAACAGTTTGACCCTGAAAATCACAAAATGTTCTAGTGTTTCCACTAATCTTCCAACTCTTACTGCCAGGGTCGAAGTGTTAATTTTTCTAGAGGCTATCCCATTATTTATAGGGTTTCAACCATCCTTGTGGTGGTGAATAAGTGGGATAAACCCCATCATTTGGATGAACCGTTTGATCCATTTTGGATGGGCATCGAAATTTTGAAGCTGCCATGACTTTCCTCGTATCTAAAAATATTCATAAATACCATAAATATATTAAATTGCTAAAGGGTACCTCCTTTTCTTCTAAAATTTGTTGATGGTCTAGGGAAATTCCGCACTGATTAAGAATTGGGCGGCCCATCCACTAACTTCTACGGCTGCCACTGTACCACTAAGGGTGGTGCCAAAAATAGTGTGCTTTATCTGCGGGTTAACTAGAGTTTATGGTAATGGTAGACATATAACTTGATATCCTCGTTTCACTATAGTCTATAGTCCATAGCTATTGCATCACCCTGAACCCTACCTTAACCAATAGTAACCCCAAAAAAAGGTTAGACAAGAAACAACCCCCCAGTATAAACTAGTGATAAATCATGATCAATCCATATAAATCCAACTGTTCCATACTTTTCTATGCATTTTTCTGGGCTTTTCCCATATAGTTCTTATTCCAAGCCTGACCACATTTTCCAGGGGGGGCAACCGCAGGTGATGCTCCCCGTGTCCTTCCTGATCTTCCTGGCGGTCTGGTTGGTGTTGCTGCCAGTGGCCTATCAGACCACCGGTGGCGACATGGGGCTTCTGACCTGGCCCGCGCTCTTCTGTCACAACCTGAATTTCCTCTTCATGTGGCTGGGATGGGACGAAGCAGAGATGGTGTGTTTTTTTTAGATGGTATATTGTATATATATATACATACATACAATATGTGTTTACATATATATATATGTGAATGATTATGTAGGCTTGCATATATGCTGGTATGCACAAATATACATATTATATATAATATATATATACATACACACACACTATACGACTATCATCATAAACATATACACATACATGCGGCAAAACTGGGGATATGATCATTATGGAATGTTTAAGCAGACTCTTTTTGGCTGGTGGGATATGCAAGCAGCAATATTGTTTGCCGCATCCAGAATGGGGTTTTAACTCCTAAAACTAAGAATTGGGACCATAAGGAGATAATCCAGCTGTATAAGTGAGCATAGGACAACAAGGAGATAGTTCCACAATGATTATTTCGCAGTAAGAATTGGGATTCCGGAAGGATCTCAGGATCGACCAAGGTTCGTGGAGGCCTTGGTAAATCGACTTTGCATCACCACCTATCATCTGACCTTCATGTTCTACTATGGTGCCTCATATGTGACTGGTTGGTGCTTTGGAACATTTTTATTTTTCATCATATATATGGGATGTCATCCTTCCCATTGACTCATATTTTTCAAGATGGGCACATTGCACCACCAACCAGGTGATCTTCTCCTGGATCTTCTTCAAGGAGTACCATTTCTTCTTCTATTTCTTCATTGATTGGCGATATCCGTTGGTGCTGATCGGCTTTTTGGCGTCGTGGATGGGGTCATGGTGCCACCCCTTGGAGAGTTGGATTCAAAGATTGTGCCACATCTTGCCCTCTATCTTGATGATGCATTGGAACAGATGTTGAAAGTGTTTTTTTAACAAAGAAGACAAATATATAAGTGATGATTAGATACTTCCAGTGCAAGGTGGTGGAAGCCATATATACAAGTTGGCTTACAAGAACCCATTAACTAGTTCATACGAGTTCGACATATCTACCAAACATTCAATTAAATTATTCACCTATATTCACCCAATAAATCCAACTTAGCACGTTAGCTCACTGGTGCACCACCAATATTATTAATCCCATTATAATCCCATTAAACCCACCATGTTTCCCATGTTTGTTGATACAAAAATCCCTATCCCCAAGGCTATACGGCCCTGCTGGTGACGCTGACGATTTTTTTCTTTCTGGGACGCAGCATTGTGAACTGCGTGAAACCGCCCTTGTATACCTGGGATCTGGAGGAAAGTGAGGATGAGACGAGTGACGCTTGGCTCAGAATCAAGGAATTATCATCAAGCATGAAAAGTATGGTTAGATATGGTTAGATATGGTTAGATAATATGATATAATATGTTATTAATTGTTTGATAATTCATCTCAACAATGACAACAGTAATCAACAATTTAAGCAACCAATCAACCAATAATATCACTAGCTATATATATATATCTTTATTATATTATAGATATATATGCATTCCATACTCACTGTACGGGTTTGTCTCAACATGTTTTATATACATATACCTTGAATTGGGAAAATGTGGGACCTTAACCAATGGTGTTCGTAATTTGTTCCAGGCAAAAAGACAATTTAAAATTGTGACTGGCAGAAGATTTTACAGATTAGATAAATTAGATAAGTTACATTGAAGAATACATTGTAGCAATTTGGATGAACTAGATAAATTAGATTAAATGGGTTATTTTGATTCTGATTCACATTTGAAAGTTCATTTGCCAATGATAGACATATTATACATAAATCAAGTCGTGTTCGCTGTCTACGGGTTGAGTATTGGGTTCAACGTTTGATCGCCTGAGCCCTGGTTGAACACCACTCGATCGCCAAGGAATCGATGGCATCCAATGGCTGGAGCGACTCTGATGATGCTTGCGCTTGAGTGAAGTTGACCAAACATGGCATCCCAGCACACCCACGCAATTACCCGCGCGCACGGAAGCGGGAAAAGGAGGTGAAACATGCCAGAACTGTGAAGATTATGGAAGTGAAGGAACCAGTTGATGGCATTCGGTATGAAGCGGAAGTGGAACATCGTGGAACTCTTCATCGGCGCATGACTTGCCAGAGACGTGCGTATTGCGCAACGGGGATGTGGGTGAAAATGGAAGACCTGCGGCAGACATACTGTACCCTCCAGTAATACAAAAAAATGTGGAAAATGTATGGTTTAGAGTTCGGAAATGGTTCAATGTGACAATATACAGACATTCATGGTACATTTCCCACATATCTATATTTTTATATTACACCCGAGTTTACTGAAGGGTATGTCAATGATTTAGCATAACCACTTGTCCAAGTGTCAGGTTGATAGCCAACCCCAAAATCATGTCAGGTATGGTAAAATCACCCAAGGCTTACCTATCTCAACGGTAAGTGGAAGGGAGTCATTTTCCCCATAAAACCAGATAAACTAGATAAACCAGTGCGATATATATATATATATATATATACATATTGGGAGTAAATCCCCCCCATTTTCAGACTCTCCAAGAACCCAACAATCTCCTCCAAGAATAGATAATGATGGGTAATAAGCCCATAGAAAAAATGGCTCTGACGATCTGCCCAGCCTCAGCCTCAATGGTTGTGTCGTCAATCCTGGAGAGAATCTGCGAGGAGGAGGAACGTGCCAAGAAATACCAAGAAGAGAAGCACGCCAGAGACGAGGCAGTGGTGTCAGCAGTTGTAGACGGTATTTGATTAGATAGTTGTGACATGTTGTGACATGTTATGACAGTCGGCTTATATGAATACCATTATGCTATAGATGTATATATATATAATATATATATATATATACTTGTCGTATTAGATAGTTATGATAGTACCCCCAAGTATAGTCATATAGAGTCAGGTCGGCTAAAAGGAAAGCTAGCTACGATTTTTTTCGATTGTGTAAATAGCGACCGGAAATGACCGGCCAAGGCGGCGCTAACAAAACGAGCTGCTCAATACATATACCCTCTGGTAAACTGTTACATAACTATGGAAAATCACCATTTTTAATGGGTAAATCAACTATAAATGGCCATTTTCCATAGCTATGTTGAATTACCAGAGGGTATGTGAACGTTGGGGAAACCATTCAACCTAGCCGTAGATCAGGTTTGGATCACGAAGTATCCAGATGAGTGACATGTGGTCGTGCCTGGAAGTGTATTCACATCGTTTCTGCAAGTGCTGCTCCTGGCAACACAATATTCACTGGATTGGTTTAATTGAGAATCTACAGGAAATCATGGTTTTTCCTGTGACATATGGTGGTTTCCTGTAAATTCTCCCTTAACCAATCCATAGAAATACCATTTCTTCGTTTGATGTTTTTTGGTTCTTTTCTGGGCTTTGATTTGTTGCTCAACGTTCCAGACTTTGCCAGGCAGCCTTCCAAGAGAAGTGTGGCCGGCTCTGTTTGGGGGTTTCTATCAATCCAGGCCTGGGTGTCCCAGCAAAATGTCCCACCACATTTGCCATCACAGCCATCCATTCCTGCAGCTTTTCCCAATCAACAGCTACCCATGGATCGGTCACGAATGGTGAGGGATGATAGTGATATGTAGGAGGGGGACAATTTGACACTCTGTGTCTTTGTGGGAAATTAGGACGAAATGATACTACTTCTTTGATGGCATTTGTATGGTGGCTTCAAACATGTAATTATAATTACGCATGTTGTGGGGATGACACACACCAATTCTGTTGAAGGAAATTTGGAATCATCCAACCGAAAGCCAAGAGTAAAACAGCCAGTCAAATGCGAACCGAAGCATTCGCAGAGATCAAGAAAATTCAGCGAACCGAACTCCAGCCACACGAGTTGAAGAGTCCACGGATTTCCAGAAACATCAATGAGGAAGGAAGCAGTCCTTAGGACTTTTAAAAGCTAGTCCCCTTCTGAACATCAACCAGATGGGTGATTCCCAACATGTCAATCAACATCAGTGCAGCCGGGCCCAGCCGGGCCCAGCCGGCCATGGAAAGCCGTGGCATTGAAGGGATGCCAATGGCTGGACTGCGGATGAATTGGCTGGAAAGTTGGGATGCAAACAAGACATGCTTGGTGCTTTCCGATGTTGAAATGGTTTCCATACCCTCTGGTAATTTAACATAGCTATGGAAAATCACCCATTTTAATGGTAAAATCCACTATAAATGGCCATTTTCAATAGCTATGTTAGTTTACCAGAGGGTAGATCGGACATATATACCACAGAATTAGAATGTGTCCAGAAGCTATTGACATGTTATATGTGTATAGAAAAGTGGTTTCCATCAAGATCCATCAAGTGTTTCTTGTACATCAGAAGATGTAGCAATGCCATAGAACCCCACACTGGGTTTGGGTTGCAACCACCACCACGGACAAGTATTGGCTCTACAAATCATGATTGCCACAGTGGGGGAGAAGTTGTTGTTTTTGTTGCTGTCGTTGCTGTTGTTGCTGTTGGTGTTGGTGTTGTTGTTGTTTTTTTTTGTTGTTGTTTTTTGTTGTTGTTGTTGTTGTTGTTGAATTAAAACTCTCTATTATTCTCTATTCAACTTTGTTTAGCCCATTAAAACAGACTAAATCCCCACAGTTGTATCTGGAGATCTGGACAAAATAAAAAACTGTCAGACGAGAGTCGCTTCCTGGCCTTGGGCTCAGCTATCAGCTGATGTGAGAACCCCAGGGTACCATGAATCCACTGCCAGGCTTTATTCCCACCAAATCCCAATGTCTTTGCATCAGACACCCATGGAAGTTTCCTAAGATGGGGTACCCCGAAAATCATTCAAGTCATTAGGCTAGACCCTTTTAGTATTGAAACCAATGGTCTTGAATCTTGAGGTGTTCCTATTTCAGGAAACCCCCACATCCCCATTCTGATTGCTTCTTTGTCCATCATCCCTCTGTGCATCCATGGCTTGCTGCTTTCCGCGAGCCGTGTGGCCCCTGTGGCCCCTGCCCTGGGCTCGCGGGAGAGAAGGGACACTCTTCAAGCGTCACTGGGCAGCTGGTACGTTGATACGAAAAAACTGGTAATCAGGTAATCATGGGATTCAGGGTATCCATGGCTATCCGATTTTCAATTTGTCATCAACTGATGATTTCTATCATCAATTAGTTGTGAGTCTCATTGCGTATCATGGGGATGTCCTAAAAAAGATGGGAGTTTACCCAAGCAAAGTGCTGATACGACCAATCAGTAAATGGTTGGGTTGTCATACTCCGTTCCAAATTTAAATATGACAGGTTGGGAAATCCATGGAACCCCCCTATCTTCCCATGGGAACCTCATGACAAGAACGGTGTCATACGGCATTTCCAAGTATCACCTTCGAGTACCGCACGGGACTCATGGATGCCCTTTTTCCAGAAGGGTCGCCGCCTGTTAGGCAGTAATTGCTTAGCAACTCACGAAACGATAGAAAAACAACATTCCAAAATCCTATATTATGCTAGAATAGCGATGAATTACGTTTCTATGTTTTAGGGTGTTTCTACCTAGACAAACGGTATGAACGGTATGCCAAACCGGCCCCTATATGCAGGAGATAAATATTCCGAATGAAGGAGCTAAATCATCGGCACTCCATCGGTGTTTAGAAAAACGGTCGAGTTATGGGAACTGCGGGATACCCCTAGGAATATCCTTGAAATGCTCTAGGTCATCCGCAGAACATAATGCTGGGATGTTGCTTGAAAAATCCACCATTAGCTGATTTTCCCATTAAAGCCTCCATAATTATACGTATATATCTGTATATTTATTTAATATAGGGTTTACACACTGTTTACCCCATACTTATTACATTTGGCAGGTACAGTAAATCGAAAACTACTGAGGTGACAACTATTTCACCCAAGTCGAACCACTACTTGACCTCGAATCCAAGGCTGCCCTTAGCTTCCTGCCTGCCAGTTGGGCATGATCGGGGACAGTGGCAAGGTGCCAAAATAAAGTGGTTCCATGGTTGATCCCTTTGTCATCCTTTATTGAACAATACAGTACAAAGTCATCACCAGAAAAAGATCATTTGCGGACATGATGCGAGCAGTTTTGTTTGGCTGCTAGTTGAAGCACCAATTCTCCGGGTTAAACCGCAAATTGCCCCATCGTTGTTGAATCAGGTTGTATCCATTTGAATCCATGTGTTGATTCGAAAAAAAAAAAACATTTTTTGGATGGTAAAAGCACTTTTTTGATGGGTAACCATCAGCATTTTGGCTACTTGAATCCCAACTTGGGTGGATGACATCATATTACATCGCAATTTTGGCTGGTTCAATTCCAATGTCAGTTGGTCAACTGATGGCCAAACTCTTCGTTTGTTCCGCCATTTCTAGTGCTTCAACTTCCTCCATTTCTGCTGGTTACACTCCCCTTCAATTCACATAGACCCTGCCTAATAGGGGGGTTGGATTCGGTTGGATGATCACTTTCCATTAAATTTGGTGTTTTTTTTCTGGGTACGGTCCGGAATCAAACGTGGCAATGGAAATCCCTTATTTATTGATTTTTATAGTTGAAGGATCACGCATATAACATGGTTGCGTATCCACCCTCTAAAGCACATGTTGTTCACTCTCATTTTGGCATTGCTGACTTACTCTTTGGCTCAAGTACTGAGGAAAACAGGCCCATGCCGCTTTCACTTGGTGCTTGTCATAGCCATAGTGCTTGATCGTAAATCCTAACCTAGGCTGTGGGTTAGTGGTTTATAATATGGCTATGGATCAATACCTATTAATACCATTTTTAGTGGGATGAACATCCATTTACCAGCTATTTTGATGTTCACCAGGGGTACAAGGTTTTGACACACTGCCATATCCTTTTATAGATAGTTTTCCCAGTTAGAAACCTCTATTCAGTTCAGGGATTTCCGGGCCAGCCACGTTTGATTCCCACGGGTATACGGTATATTCATCAATTCATTGCCCATAGGATCCATGGTGCTGGTATATATGCTAACATTTGGGGTATATTGGTGGGATCCATGTTACCATATATAGCAGCACCATGGATCCTTTGGGTTGATGATCTATATTCCATCAAGATTCCCATGATACCCGTATTTTGGTGATGTTTCCCCCTGTTCCTTGCTGCTTTTCTCAAGGTCAGGAGGCTGGCATCAGCACCGTGACCTTCTTCCGCGGCGCCGGCGGCGTGTCCGCCGCGGCGACGACGCTGCGCGCGCGGCTGCGGAAGGTGCTGCGGGCCAATCCCTGGGTGGCCGGGCGGGTGGCGCGAAAGCCGGAGGCGGGGCACAGGCGCAGGGGTGGTGGTTTTATAGGGTAACCGATGGTGAATTATAGCCCGAACTAATAACACATATAGTAGGAACAGATGGCTACTCGTAGTGATACTGCAACATTCAGAACCGTGAAAATATATGGATTATGTATGTTTTTAAGCATCAAACATGGGGGATTCAGCTGAAACGGGGGGATGTGGCAAATCCAACACTGCGTTGCTTTCGAGTAATCGGAAAAAAAGGTAGGGGATGGTTCGAAGGCTATGAAATACCATGAGAGATACCATATTTGGGGGATGAACATCCATTTAAAAGTTTCAATGTGGTAAAGGTAAATTACTCCAATGCCAAAACCTCCAATTTTTCTAGGGATTATACTTTATACCCCCCGCTTGGTTTATTGTTGGATTTAGATACCACATGAAGATGGTATTCGACACTAGAAGGGTATAATTATAATGAAATAAACTACGTTATGGTTTGGGGCGTTTCCATATGTTTCCATTGGGTGGCTGGTTGGAGAAGCGTTACTGTATATTATATAACCAACAAAATCAACAGGAATCCAACCCATTGAACATAAATGACAGCAAGTCAGCAAGGTGAAATATGTAAGATCTTTTTGCGTTTTTATTTGAGGACAAGAATCACCCTTGTATGTGGGGTGTTGGGAGCAATCCTGCAAATTGGGACGGAACTGATAGAACTCATATAGCAGACGATGATGATGATGATGATGATGATGATGATGGCGGTGGTGGTGATGATGATTATGAGATATTATGACTACGATGGGTTGGGTTTCGCGCACCAAAAAATGTATCCCGGCGTCAAGAATTTTTACACCAACCACACATGATTTGACCAATGGAGAATGGATAGGGGTATGCGGCATACCGGCATACCCCTATCCATCCGTTGGTTAAATCACGCCCGGAAATGGGTTTGACCGAAAATGATGGTATTTCAGAGGTTTCGAAGATAATTTTCCAATTTTCCCCATTTAAAGTTGGTATTTGGTGACTTTTTCAGATACATCCAATTTCCAGTATTCCATGGCCATTAAAGTCGAACTTTGGTTATAACGCCGTTGTTTTGATGGTCAATGGTCAAAATTGTTTGGTGGTTAAATCCTCACTTTGGTTGGTTCCATGGCAATTTTTTGGTGAATGAACGGGGATCCATTTTTCATCATTTTTCTATCTGATCAGATCAGTTAATATCTCAATAATATCCGATCTCTATTGGTTCTTGAAGATTTTTTGATGGTCAAGCCGCTTGACTCTGCAGGCCTCACGCTTACAGCTGCACTTTCCAAGTTCTGATGCCACGGAGGATGCAGAACTCCTGGAGGAGATTCTCCATGTGGATCCTGCAGGGTTAACGGTGACGCGGCAGACATTGTTCACCACGCAAAAATGGGGACATCTACTGGGATATTGGTGGAGGTGATTGGGAGTTTAGCAGCCAAACTTGGGATGTAACATGATGTAACTAAAAATGGAATTTATCAAAGCAAATGGAAATTTAAGCATAAGAGATAGGGATTAAGCAATCAAAGACATGGATTTAACATGATTTAACCCATCAACAATGGATAAGGGTTTGTTTGGAACATGGGGGAAAGCGCAACAAAATTCAATTTGGCTGAACAATATGATGATACACCATGCGATTCTGGCGGTTCCCGGGGTAGCCCCTTTTATTGGACAAGCCCAACTTTGTTGAAAGCTCGTGAATCGCCACAATTTTCTTGGATGTTGGTGCAGGGGATAATTAGTCAGATATGTTGCTTGATATGGTTGGGATTCTTTGGAATATATATATATACTTGTATACATACAGTATATATATATACATGTATAAATATATACATATATCTATATATATACATATGTATATAAATATGGTAGTATATGGACATATGATTCTATGATCAGAGTCATATGCTTATGCTACGCAGGCGAATCTGCAATATCACACCCAACCAGTAGATCCAAAGGGCAGAAGGACATGACTTCTACCATTGGTGTTTCCACATGCTCAGGTTTGTTACTGAAAATCACCAGCATTTGCTGTGCCGGCAAAAACTCCTGTGTTTGGTGGTTGGTTTTTCAGAATTTCTGGTTTAAAGTGTTGGTACTTCCATCATTCTGATTGTTGTTTGAAGAACATGAAAAATCACATTCCAATTTGTTTGAAGGTTACTTCACCATTCTCCTGGCAGCTCCATCCATCATAACTAAGTTCAAAATGATCCACCTCCCAAGCTATGGATGTGTTCAGATTTTACAAATGACTATGATTTTGTGGCTCCAAACACGTACCCAATGACTTGACTGTTTAGCCTCAATGCCAGGGGATATTCACAAATCCTACTCCAATAGTGATAAATCCAATCACACGTCATTTGGCGGATTTTCATGGATTTACCATCCTTTTCGCAGTGATTTTAGGGGGCATTGTGCAGTGGAAAAATGGGTTCCTTCGAGGACCTCTGCGGGACCCACTGGGTGGCACCCTCTGAGGTGCATCGTTCGATGACCTACGAAGAGATCACCTCTGCGATCCTGGGCTCCAGCGCGGTGGTGCAACGCCTGGGCTGTCGCTTCATGCTGGAGCTGCCCTGTGTCCCGGATCCATGGGGAGATGGATGGAGATGGGAAAAAACCTTGGGAAAAAGCAGAAATGAAATGAAAGTATTGGGAAAGCAATTGGGAGTTGGTTACAGAGATTGTTATGGGAGATGAAAACTCGATTTTCATGATTTAGATAGAAATTACGTCACGATCATAAATGGATTTCACGAATGAAGAATGGAGATGAGTCTGTCTGAAAATGTGGATAGTTGCCAATGTCTATTGGGAAAGACATGATGATCCACCTTTTTTTTGGGGAGGATGTACTATATTCTCAGACGAGATCAATTTGTGAAAAGACCAGATGTAAACAACCTAGAAAATCCTAGAAACATATTTTTGTTGGATGGTTTTTTGTTTCAGGTGTGATGACCCATTTTAAGATATTTTAAGATATTAAATCATATTGAATCATCTTAGATCTTGAATCATAAAGGTAAATAGAACTGAATAGATACATAATGATACATACATGACAAAACCATACGAACATGTTTTTTTGCTTTTGGCTGGTGTCCAATTTTGAATAATCTGAAAGTTTGAAATGGCCAGAAACTGCAGATGCAGAATCGCTATAGTTGGACGTCCGGGGACACATGAACCCAGGTTTTGCATGGCTTGGCACCATCGCCAAAGATGCGCTCCAGATACGTATTACGTTGGTGTCGGATCCCTATGAGCTACTTGGAGAGAGAATGGGCCTGCTGGATATTTGTGGGCGGTTTCAATAGATATCTATGTTCTTTTCTACAATCGTAGCTCAAACTATTGCTCATCGGGTACAGGCAGAGGCCCACAATCTACTATACATTCCTGAAGATGTACCATATCAAATCATAGATCTACCACCTTAATTGGTAGCATGGTTTGTTTCCTTCATTGTCTATCCCCAATGCGGCAAACGGGTAAAGCCAATAATAACATACAATAACCATATTCAATGACTTACCGTAGCATTTTGGGGTTTCGATTGTAGACCATATCAAGGTGGTGCTTAGTTTTCACTTTCAGGGACCCTGGGTATTTGAGCACTACGCTGCCCGCAGAATGGAGGTCCGATGCTTTTGCCATGATCTTCAGCATGGGTCATACCACCGTGGATGGCTCCAGCTACTACCAGGCCTGCTGTTACTTGGGCGGGGGCTTACGTACTTAGTGAACCCGTGTTGATCCTATCTTTCTATTGGTGATATTGGTAGCATCACCATTTTTGTTCGAATAGTTATAGTATGTTATAAAATTTATGATAAAAATATATGATATCTGACAAACAAGTGAAACCCGGCCAAATTGATGGTAAATGACACTGTGCTATCTGTTTCGGGATAGATTCGATCACCGCTCAGGTGCTCAACATGCTGTCGCCAGATGCAGAGATCGTCAGCTTGCAGGTCCAACGGAAGCATGAGGCATCGCCCAGGATGATCGAAGCGCAGGTGGGAAGTGAACCCAGCCATTTGGGTGTGCTGAGGTTTCAAAACCATAAAAGCTGGTTGGCATTTTAAGATATTATATATACATATAAGAGCTCATATAATCTAATAAATATAAATATAATATAGTATTATATTATATTATATTATATTATAAAATATATTATATATATATATTAATTAATATTATATACTGTACATAAAATATATTATTAGTGATATGATAATATGTATATGTTTCTCTTCAAAAGCCCCACTTAGGGTGACTGTCTCAGCCATATTGGTGAAATCTCCATGGCTGGAAAACAACTTACATGAAATTACAACAGTATAGCCATATAATATAGAAATACAGCAACCATATAGCTATAATATAGAAATATAGAACTTGTATAATATATATCAATATGGCTTAATATTCATGTACATGTTTTTTATAGAAATATAGATTATAACTGATGCCATCACATAGCCACCATATAGAAATTATAGCCATGAACCCTTTTAACACCACCATCAACGCCACATTTCGTTGCTGAAATCTGGTCCCAGGGCCGCGAGGACTACGACTGGATGCTCTCCACCTTGATCGCCAAGGCGCTCCGCGATGCACTGAGAGGCCCCAAAGCCAGGGCCGTGTGTCTCTACGTGGACGACGCCCGTATGAAGGCCATGAAAATAAAAAGTCGGGGCCGGGGACATCAGGTTGAGATAAGGTTGAGAGATGCTGAGAGGTTGAAGTATACTAATTCGACAATTAGACTGCTTGCCTCTGAAATTGGATGATGTAATCCTTGAAATCATGATATGTAATTATCAAGTTTGGATGGTTTAATGTTAATGCTAAGCTGATCAAAGCAAAATCCGTGGTTCTTTGGGTCTTGGTTTTAAACCCGTAGCCATATCGCCAAAGGGATGGCTAAACCACAAGCCACGCTTGCAGGCAGCCAAGGCGGCAGCAACAGAAGGCAGCCAGGTGTCCTTTGTGTCGAGCAACGATGTGTTGGTGAGTGGCCTTGCCAAAATGGCGGAGGCCCGCACCTACACAATGGCCATTCGGATTGCACGTTTGTAGAGACCGAAAAGAATTGGAATTCAAGGTGCTTCAACCATCAAAATATTTGTGCACATGGGACTACAAATGGGATTATAAGTTATATAAGTTATGACTATAATTGGATCATCTACATACAGTATATACTGGTCCATGGCGATTGAGATTGCAATCGGATTAGTCCGAAAATGGGGTGCCCAAAAGTACATGAACCACATCTGAGGCAAATACCCATTTTCAGACAAACCCATTGATTTGTGTCCACCTCTAAACTGTTTGGCGGTTTGGAACATTTGTTATTTTTCCATATGTTGGGAATAATCATCCCAACTGACTTTCATATTTTTCAGAGGGGTGGCTCAACCACCAAGCAGCTAAAAGTCGATGTTTTTAACCATGTTCCGATGGTGGTTTCCTTGGAGGGTCATCTTCCGAGGCGATGAACTTTCGCGGCCGCATTGAGGGCTTAGAAGCCACGGACGCGGGAAACTACGAGCCTCCAGTGGCAGTGGCAGTGTTGGGCAGTGGAGGAATCAGGACATGGACAAATGAATGGTGAATGAGGGAAACGGAGGTTTGTCCAAAAGTGGAAGATTTGCCACCAGCAAGTGAACGGCCTTCCCTAGTGAAGGTTTTTTGGGGAAATCACGAATTAGTGCGGCATTTTCCATTGCCATGTTTGATTAAGTATGTTCAATGGATGTAAATGGAACATTACTGGTTGGTGGTTTGGAACATTTTTTATTTTTCCATATATTGGGAATAATAATCCCAACTGACTATATAATATGTTTCATAGGGTTGAAACCACCAACCATATTATAAGTGAAAGTAATTTACCAGGATTACAAGTCTTTTATCTGGCTAAAATCTCCCACTTAAGGTGATCGAGCCACACTTCAAGGTGCTGCTGTGTGGCTAGAATCATTGGTATACGGTATACCAGCTCCAGAAGTTGCGTCCTTCAGCACCATCTTTAGACATAACCTAACATAGTGTCCACTCCAGTATAGTTTCGACCCCTGGTTTTCTCGCACTCTTCAGAGTCACCATTCATCAGCTTAAACACCAGCACCATATTTTCCATCCCAGTTCACTAGACAGACCATTTTATAAACCATAAATCACTGCCATAAATAATGTTGAATCACCGAAGTACCATAAAATAACCAAACTACCATAAAGTTGCTGATTTTGGGGGCTGTTTATGAGCCAAGGCTCAGCTTGTCCTCCAGTCCCTAGGAATCGGCTCTGATCTTGGACTCCGCCGTCTACAGCAGCCCCGCCACGTTGCGGGAAGTGCTGCAGCAGGGGCCGCCCTACAGGACGCATGGAGAAGCGTTGCCTGCGCTGTGGGAAGCTTGGGAGCCGCACTGGGGCTGACATGGCCGAAATGGAGACAACTAACCATCAACTGATAGGGATTTCAGGGATTTAATGGGATGATAATTGGATATAGCTAATCAACTATTGGGCAATCAAATGTGGCGATCAAATGGCTGGTTTTTTCGAGGAAAGTCATCGAATTCCTGGGCTATTTTCCCAACGCCATGATCGGAGGGCTGCCCATGTCCATCCTGGGTATCCTGGGTCAAAGCTGCCATGGGACGACTCTTTGGACCATTGGGCTTCGGAGGAATCCATGGGGAGCCACTTCGCTTCAACCTCCAGCTGGGCTGGCTTTACTGGAGAAATGACGCTGGGCGGCCAACAGCTCTTGCACTTGCCCTTGGTGCCCTTGGAGAACATACCCTTTGAGTGTAGCTGCATCTTCAGGCCCAGTGAAGGGTGCTGAAGGGTGCCAGGGAGACCAAAGCTTGAGTTCCAAAGCCACAATTTGTAAAGAATATTCTCATGGCCCAATTTGTGTTTGATAGATTGTAATGTATCGAAACCATGAATATTAAATGCATGTAGCATGAATCAAATGTGTAAGCTGGAAATGCTGATTGTTTTCAGCGGCTCACAAGGGAACAGGACGAAGGATGGGCACAATCCGCGCTTACAGCCCGAAATCATCAGGACCCTGGCTTTTGCATATCCCCTTGTTTTGACACCATTTCATGACCATATCCTTTGTTCCCCATGTGCGCTAAAAAGAAATTCATGGATTTATCATGATTTATCATGATTTATCATCTTCATGTAGTGCCTCTAAATTTCTGATGGAAATCTCCGTCCATTTTGATGGTTACCCTCTGGTAATTTAACATAGCTATTGAAAATCACCATTTATAGTGAGTTTTCCCATTAAAAATTGTGATTTTCTATAGTTTTTTGTATGTTTACCAGAGGGTAAGTCGTTAAGTAAGGTTTTCGTTCCCATATCTTCCCATCGGGGGCGCCAGGCCAACGCAACGGCGCCTGGCCGTCTTGGCTTTCACCAAACGCTTCGACAAGGACGACTTCGTGCGTGCGCTGCCACTGGGGGAGGAGGTCGCGCCCGGCGTCTTCCCGGAAAAGTATGGAAAAGTGCTGTGACGGCCCTGGGAAGGCTGGGAAGGAGTCAGAATTTATGTGTCTGAAACAAGAGGTATACTACCCCAGACCCCAAAAAAATATCAAAAAATGTTATTGTATATGGATGTATATGGATGAAATGGTAATGGTCCACTGGTTTTAGAGGTATCCGATTTTTGGACAAACCCAAATAAATGGGGATGGTGTTGGCAAGTGGGTTTGAAAATTATGAAAGATAATATATGTACGTGATAAATCAATATAACTCACATGAATTCAAATGATGGATGGATTATGTTTTAGTATGTCATATTATGTCGTGGTATAATTTAAGTACCCTGCGAACGGAAAATTGGATAAGCAGGTTTTGGCATTATGGATGGTTATTACCATCTTGTCCAATGTCCATTCCACGAGGCAAAGGTCCAGTTAAAAGTGGAGGGGAAGATACTCTTTGATTTTAGATTGCCTGACAATTACCGTGCACTACCGAATGGATGAGTTGAGCGATTCCTCACATGCTCCTGGTAGGGATTAACATGATTAAAGCATATTAAAGACGCTTCCTGTACTTGCCATTTGTTTTTTCCATTGCAAGGCTTTTGTCCAAACCTCTGAGCAGTTGATGTAGACGTATATAGTCTTCATGCTGCGCATCACTTCAGCTTCGGGCGAAGTCGCAATCTCAAGGGAGAGGGCGAGCTTGATGATGAACGGGAGGTGTGTCCCCCAGTGGATTTGCAGCTTGTGATCCTGGAGGTTTGGCCAGCTGAGCGGGCCCTACACCTTGCAGCAGAGGCGGGCAGTGGAAGCTGGACTTCTTGTTGGATGCTGGTGCTAACTCTGAAATCAGGTCGATAGAGGATGAGTCGACAGCTCTTGTATGCCAGTGCTGACGCAAACAGCAAGACGATAGGTGGATCGGCAGCGTTGCATTGTGCTATTGTGGGCAATCACCTGGAAATAGCATGGCTTTTGCTAAAAGCTGGCACGGAGAAGAATAGCTCAAGAGCCGACAGTGCAACACCACTACATCTTGCAGTTCGTAGTGGCAAGTTGGTAATAGTGAAGCTGTTGCTGGATGCTGGTGCTGAGAAGATTTCTGCTGCATGGACAGGACTTGTCCATGATCATGCAGTAGACTTTTCAGCAAAGTCTTGGCAATTGCACACCTTTGCATGTTGCATGTCCCTTTGGTATCCTTTGGTGATGTTGAGGTAATGCAGTTGTTGCCTGCCGTCGAATCGAAAAGGATTCCAGGGCAGCTTTGGCAACTGCCAATGGACGGAGATAGAGCAGCTGTTGCGGTAACTTCCTGACTGCCATGACTGCCACGAATTTGGCTGAAATTGTGGTGGCGCAATGTGGCGCATCATATGATGGGCTGACAAGGTCATTTGTTGATTCTGCAGACTTCGCAACATCCGCCCTGATGCTGGTATGTCTAACGGTTACGCAGGTGGACTAAAATGAGCTGCCGTCAACCCTCGGTCACGAGTTCACTTTTTGCTGGGTGCCAACTTGAAAAGGATATCAATCACAAGCACACAGTGATAGGTATTCAGTCAAAAAGTCTTCAAGATAAGAAGATATAAGAAGTAATGAGCTGATTCGGTTCATTCTGTCAAATTGGGGACCTTCATGCTCAGGGCTTTTCTCGACGAAGATAAGTCAAGAGGACCAATTGAGAATGCCTGAAGATGGTTGTGTGATCTCAGCGACGCCCCAATGGTACCTTCGGTCAGCCCACAAATGTGACGGACATGTTTATCTTATTTCATCTGTTCAAGAGAATGTGGTAAACCTATGTAAACCTACGTAATAATAACCATCTCCTAAGCCACAATATACTGGGTGTTATAAACCATCCCCAAATGGTAAGCTTATTACATCTTATTACCGGGTTTCCCACATTAGCCCTAGTCGCAAGCCCTCCCATGTTAGGTAATTGGCTCCGTTCGCAGGACTCTCTTGGTGTTGGGAGAGTTGGCTCGCTGAACCGCCAAAGAAGCGACAGCGCCGCTCAGCTGGAAGGGTTGGGCGTTGTTTTCATGCCTGCGGTGAGGGTACGTTTGGTGGTGCCCCCTGGCCCGTTTTGCTTGTTGGTTTAAAGTTTAAAGTAGCTTAAAGTTACGACTACCACAAACCCGAGTTACAAATACAATTACTGTATCTTAGTCTTGAAGCATCTTTTTCGCAACGTAGCTAAGGGGGGCACCATCTAAATGAACTGTTCATGGGAACTTCCCAGTTCAATTCCTTGGTATAGCCTCGAAGCAACCAATTTTTTGGGTTACCAATAACAAGAATTCACAGCTACTTGCAAGAATACCTCCCTGTTTTGTCATTGTTCCTTATCCTTTAGCAATCAAACCTGTGGTGGTTTTTGAGTTTCCTTCTCTATGAGCTTTAAGATTGCCGGATCGGATTGCCAGAAGATCAACCGCTATTCCCGATAAATTCCCCTTTCATGTCATCATGTCCCTGTTTTAGTTGGTCATTCAGCCAATTCCGGTCTACCAAAAGTTGCTTGGGAAAAAACGAGAGTTTTCCTGGTTTTTACATGTTTTTTCTACCCAAAGACTATATAGAGAACGGTTTTCAGGTTTTGTACACCCATGATACCCAAAGGCAAAAAAAAACAGCAGTGCAGCACCCATGAGGCTCTCTGGCTCCCATCGATTTGGAGGTCGACCCAGTGGGAATTTAAGGGGGTTTTAATGGGATTCAATTGGATTTGAGTGGGACCTTAGTAGGATTTATATGGATATATATGGATTTCAATAGGATTTAAGTGGCATTCAAAAAAAAATAACCATCAAACATGAGTTTTACAATGAATGATGGACATGGGTGTGTCTGAAAGTGGGATATTATACCATGATATACCGCCAAACGGATCCAGTGATGGTAGTTTGAATGGGGAATAATGATGATTAAACTGGATTCTTAGTACTCCATTTTCAGAAAATCTCCATGGGATTCCCAGGAAAAGATGCGTGTTTTGACTGCGATCCATGGGATGTCCGCAACACCTGAAAACTCAGCTGATTGCTTTTGAGACAGCAGCATTGGATGAATGTACCAACTCTGGAAATGTACCACGCGCCCAAAAACACTATCCCTGAGAAATATGCCACGTCTAAGTACCAATGAAATCCCTATTGTTGATGGCCAAATTCCCCATGAAAGACCATGCAAAAAATCCCAAAAAGAGTTTCAATGTCCATGTCATTCCATGTCAGTCATCGCACTCAAATCCCACTAAGAATCCCTTGAAACCTATCATTCATTAGTCATTTGTTTCCCCCTAGAGACACGGGCGGCCCAGTTCCGAGTCTCGGACAAAGAGTTGGACAAAGAGTTGGGCGAGTTGGCGGCGGGTGGACCTTTGGCGTTGGAAAGCTGGGAGGAAACCAAGGAGAGCTGGGTGAAGGTGGTGTTTTTAGGGTGGCTGTTGATATGACCTGGCTGGCTTTAGGAGAAAATGCTAGTCTGATGTAGTAAGATTCTGTAGGACTATGTTGGTTTAAAACCAGCTCAGCTATGCCGAACTCAAATTTGGGTTTGAGCTGGTGAAACAACTAGCTTGTTAGATGATGTTGAATGGTTGAATGTAGATTCACAAACGTGACAGGTGGCATCACTTTGCGGGAGATAATCCATTGTCATATATTGTCATCTACAGATGGAGATGCTCTGAGACTAAAGGGGAACATATATGGGAATATCATCATCATGTCCTGGCATTTTTACAGTCAGGTCTACGCTCAGTAATTAATCATCTGTTCCAAACTGAACCATCCAGGTGTGACCCCATGGCTTTGAAATGATATCCATGGTGCTTTGCCAAGGGGCTAAAACCCTCTAAAACCGAAACGGGCTTCGGTTCCGTAAGTTTCCTGCCTTTCCAGGGTTTGTTGAGGATGGATTCTTTGGAGCATCCAACTTTGAGACTGACATGGACATTCATAATGCTGCCGCAACACGTACGGATACATGTTTTTTAACATTTGCAGTGACTTCAAGTCGGGAAAAAGGCAGATGCGATCACAAGTGCATGCAACTCAGTAGATTGTAATAGATTTTGAAAGTAATTGAAGTTACTTGGGAGTTTCATATTAATATGATAGTTTCATGGTCATTGGTGGGAGGGGCATAACGCATAACCTGAATCCTAAATCCATGCGCATCCTGTGCGATCCTTCTGCCGCGGATGCTGCATTCAGTGTGGTCAGTGCGGACACAGGAGCTGGAAGACTGCCATATGGAGAGCCAGAGCATGCCATCCGACGATGAAACCATGGACAGTGACGAGAGATGGGAAAAAGGGTCGGCTGCATTTTTTGGACCCTCCAGTAAACTACTTGGAGGATCACCCCAGTGAGTGGGTTATAATGGGTTATAACGTCCACGTGTCATGGATATGCAAAATCAACTGTTTCCCCAAGGAAAATGATCTACCAAATTTTAAATGGATCATATTTTGGTGCTCGTTTAGTGGATGTGACGCGTGAGTACAAGCCAAAAAGAGACACCCGAAAATTGGACAGATAAACATCACTATAAACTCACAATGAGCATGGCTATCTACCACATCGATAAAACATGATAAAACAGAAAACATATTATTAATGTGTAGTTTGTTTCAAATTTTGTTCATCGCTGGATTCTGGATGATGGTCATAGATAGATATTGTATGATATTGTATTTTTGATTTTCCATTAAAAAACAACATGCAAAGGCAGAGATTTCCCAGCTCATCATGTTTGCCGGAGGGTCGATGAAACCATGGAATTCTTCTGCTTTGCCAGGCGGCAGAAGTTGAAGCAGATGCAGATGGAAGGGGCCACTTCCGCCGCATCTGGATGAGTCTGCGGGGATGATGACGACCTGAAACAATTCGGACATCCATTGAAAGATTGGCTGTAATATCCGTCTGATTCATCCATGACAATGGACTGCAATGGGATGATAGTGGAGATTAGTTGTGTTTTTTTTATTTTTCAAATTACAGTATATATAGTTGTTAAAATTTTCGAGGATCTAAAGAATCATCTTTGGTCATTGACTGATCAATAAACTCTGGTTGGTTGAAAATTAGACGGCACCCCCCAGAAGTGCTCATTGCAACCAGAATGGTCCCCCCAAATAGAACAGCCCAGGAGTTTCTACGGATGTTTTGACACTTCAAGCTTGGAAGCCTAAATGTTTATCGTCCCATATCGGCCCTATGTTACAAAAGGTTGAGCTTGAAACCACCGGAAAGCATCCAGCCACGGCCATCAGATGGCCTTCATTTCGAGACAGCTACAAGAACAAGCCACGATGAAGGCGCGCTGCGCCCGTGGGGTTTTGGTCAGTGGAGAGATGACGGAAAAGATTAATTGCAATATCTTGGATTATAGTCCCAATAAATCTTGACCCACAATTGGGAATGCTTTACATCTTTGGTATACGGTATGTATGCGGTATGTATGCGATATATGCCTGAAGTGAATAGAAACCAAAGATTGATCTCCCAGGTTTTGGGGTGAACGTGGCAGCGGTGTTTGTCATGGCAAGGACTTGATGGGGCCCAGGGTAGAACCATGTAGAACCACTCATTTGCTGCTACCAGATACAAACAGAGTATATTAAGCTTCTAATGTGGTGAGGAATCAACCAACAATGGGAGTAGCGCTAGTGCGACCTGAGGCCGCCGAGCGCGAGGAGCAGCGCCGCGGTGGGGCGGCCGAGGTGTCGTTTCAAAATGCGGTGGGTCGATATCACCAGCAGAAATTGCATTAAAAAAACCATGTTTGAGCATCAACACTTGCTAAAATGGGTGATTGTTGATGCTCAAACATGGTTTGAACGAAATAATCACTCAACTTTTTTGTTTCATCACCCATGTTTAATCAGTGAAAATGGATGAAAATGGTGGATTTAACGAAACAAAAAGGGTGGCGTGTTGTATTTAACACCATCAAACTGGTAAAGCCCAGGTTTGTGTCACGTCGCTCTCACTGGCTGGGTTTCTGCAGTTTCTGCAACCCCTTGTGGGGATGGCAAGTTGCTGGACTTACTGGGACTTACCCTCGACTTATTTCTTGGGTGTGTCCAAAAATGGTATAAAAAAGCCGATAAAAAACCCGATTTATAGATATTTTATATGCTAAAAATGGAGAATGATGAGATCTTCCAATGGTAGATGGTCAAGTTTCGCCATGTGTTAGTGACTTGGTTTTTCAGCCATGGACCGCTTTTTTGGGATTTGGCGAGTGACTCGGGCACCGAGTGCACCGAGTCCGTGAGTCCTCGGACCGTGATGCGCAAGCCGCCTTCGAAGAGGAGAAACAAAAGGCACCGGGGCTGGAAACTGCGGCGGTGAAAAAATGGGTGATGGTAACCAGCTGTTAGGTTTTGGTGATGGTCCCTACCTTGCTCGCTGGATGGTGAAAAATGACCATATATTTCATGGAAAATCCCTGACACAAAAATGGATGATAATTAAATGGGGTTGATAGATGAGGGTAGCCTTATTTCAGGAAACAACCGTATACCTCAAGTAAACCAACTGATTTACCATGGAAAATCCTTATGTTTTTTCAATCCATCGATCATTTCCAAGGAAATCCACGGATTTCCATATTTATGTTAGTCTATTGCAGGGTAACCGTAGTCATTTCAGACTGCGGCTGGAGTCACTGCTTCAAATCTACACCCTGACGGTCGGAGACGATTTTTCAAATGGTCTTTGGAAAAGACTATTTCATACCCCATAGGATCCATGTATGCTATATATATATTATATATATGGTAACATTTACCATCAATATACCCCAAATGTTAGCATATATACCATACATGGATCCTATGGGTACTGGTTCCATCCATTTCTGGTTTTCCATTGTTTATCATGCTTGGACACCAAAAAATGGTTCAAACCTTCACCCCTGCTACGACCCCCCCAGGCTGTCGAGCGGAAGAAGAAGGAGAAGGACTCGGAGATGGGGCGAAGTGAATTGAGGGTGGGAAGAATCCCTTGCCCCTAGCCCCACTGATCCCCACGATGGAAGAAATCCGAATCACCAGTTGATAGGTGGTTTGTTTATCCCATGATTTATAGGGTTTCAACCATCCAAGGTGGTGCAGAATTTCTGAACCATCCACAGTAGGATTAAATACCCCAATAGAAACCTTGATGGAATGCAGTTGATCTTTTCATGACTTTGGCCCCAAAACTAAAGGTTATGGAAATTAAATATGATTGGAATATGGGATTTAAGTATGGGAATCATCAACAAACAGATGTTCATTACAAGGAGTTCATGCCACGAATCAAGAACTGCTGGGTAACATCAATTAGTCCATGGACAGTCAATACTTATTTTTTCCTAACATACTTCCAATATCAGTAATCAATAGAAAGCATTGGCTAAACATAATGTAACATCTATACATATATAGATATCCATGGTATCCATGATTTTGGCAACTATGCTGATGGCTATTTTCATGTGGTGACCAGGGCACCAAGGGTATCCCCAGTTTTTCAGGTGCGTGCGGCCACAGGAGAATGCCGATTTCTTGCAGCAGCAGATCAATCAGAAGGTTGGTCCTGTTCGCCTAGTCCTAGGATCTAGGTCAACTCCGAGTCATGGGTTGCAAACTCATTGAAATATAAGAATATATATATTAATACTAATACTCATTAATTTTTATGAATATATAGAATAATATGTAGAATGTAGAATGATATATAGAATAATAGAGAATAGTATGTAGAAATATATAAAGTAATAAGAACACGATGATCGTTACTAAAACTAAGTTAAACAGATGAAGTATACCCATCGTTGTTGATTGCTAACGGGTGCTTTTACCCCATGATATCGCAGGTTTATATAGATTTATACTATACTCAATTATTGACCCAGAATCACTGTAAGATGTTCGTATCACCAAATCATCTCAATTTGACACAACAATACATATTCGTATTTAAATATATACATTGAGGTCATCACCTGAAATTGGGCAACTGCTGTTGCCATCTTTATATATATATTATGTGTTATTATACTATTATATATTACATTATATTATATTATGATATATTATGATATTATATTATATATATTATATTATTATATTATATTATATTATATTATGTTATATTATATTATATTATATATTAATATAATATATTTATATATATATATATTATTATATTATAATATATTATATTATATTATATTAAATTAAATTAAATTAAATTATATTATATTATATTTATAGATACTCGTACACTGGTCAATATATGTCTCCAAGAATTATTATGAATATATATATATAGCTTATCAGATTTTTTTTTAATTTGCACATCATTTCTCCACTCCGCTCGCTCATTCCAGACTATGGAGAAACGTGCCAAAGAGCAAATGACGGAGGTGGAACAGGCCATGAACAAGGCGTGGAGGGCAGGTGACTTGAGGCTTTTGGGATCCATCAAAATCCATAGAGAAGATTATGGAAACTATTGGGAAAATGATGGATTCATGGGGGAAATGATGGATGCAGAAATTCTAGTTCTTGTTTCTCATTGTTTTTTCCCGGTATTTTTTGTGTTAATTTTTCCTCATTGAGGCCTAGTATCAACTAGAATCATCACCGGGCCGAAGGGAGCCATGGACTCTAAGCCCAATCGCTCTGTGGATTCCACCGGGCTGGGGATCTACTTGGATAAAGCATGATAAACCATGACAAACATGTGATGTTTATCATGATAAACCATGATAAACCATGGTGATAAGCAGATCTATTTGGGGATTTTCCAAAAGTAAGATGTGATAAACCATGATAAACCATAAAGAGATATAGAGATCTGAAATGATTTGAACTAATATGAACTAATGTGGCTAAAACAATGCCATTTGAACCATCCCCCAGTCATCACCATTGCCAACTGGGTGGTGGGATGGGAAAACCAGGAACGGCTGGATCGTGCCAAGAAGCCGGAGACCCTGCAGATGCGGCTCGGCCAAGGAACAGCTCGCTATGAGCCATGGCCAAAACGAAGAACTTTTCGCATTAAAACGAAGAACTTTATACACAATAATACATAATATTTAATTAGTTTTAATTATATATTTACACATTATATATATATAATTATGAGTAGATTAAATATATATATATACAGTATATTTAATATATATATATATGCATAATTATATATATATGCATAATTATATATATATATTATATATTATATATTATATTATATATATATTGGGCTCTGCCTCGTGACACTAACAGTGACCACAATTCATACCACAAAAAAAAGCACAAAAAAAATCAGGTTGTAGTCCCCAATATGACTTTCATTTCCCCTTATTAAGGCTAGATGACCAGGCATATTCCCTGCAAGTTGGCTCCACGGTCGGCACATTTTCTTGCCATGCCCAGAAGTCCTTGCTGTCAAAATTCGACATTGGCATTTCCAATGGGATGCCTCATGCATCCAGCTTGGCAGCACCTTGTGGGTAGTGATGCTGCTGATTGCAAAGCAATATTGTTTAGGGTTTTGGATGCTGCCCATTGCAGCGATGATGGCAAAGCAATACTGTTTAGGGTTTCGGATGCTGCCCATTGCAGCGCTGATGGCACAGCAACACTGGTTAGGGTTTAGGATGCTGCCCACCACAATGCCGATGGAAAAGTAATTCTGTTAGGGTTTAGAATGTTGCCCATCGCAGCGCCGATAGCAAAACAATAGAATGTGTGTGTACAATACATATAAAGGCCGGGGCTGCTGGACTGACCCCGGGCAAGGGTTGGGGGCTGAGCCTGGGGGCTGGAGCCTGGGAGCTGGGGAATGCTGGGGGACTAGAGGCCTGGCGGGCTGGCTGGCTGAGGTGGGGGCTGGAGCTGGGCCGGGCTGGCCAATTGAAAATGCTTTAAAAGCAGCGACTTTCCAAAAGCAGAAAAAAAGCAGAAAAAAGCAGAAAAAAAGCACAAAACAAGCACAAAAAAAAGCAGAAACTGGCGCAGGAAAAAAAGGAAAATGACTTTGTTTTTTTTGCTTTTTTTTGTGGTATGAATTGTGCTTTTTTTTGTGCTTTTTTTTGTGGTATGAATTGTGCTTTTTTTTGTGCTTTTTTTTGTGGTATGAATTGTGCTTTTTTTTGTGCTTTTTTTTGTGGTATGAATTGTGCTTTTTTTTGTGCTTTTTTTTGTGGTATGAATTGTGCTTTTTTTTGTGCTTTTTTTTGTGGTATGAATTGTGTTTTTTTTTGTGCTTTTTTTTGTGCTTTCTGGCAATTGAAAACAAATTAGATAATAGTTTCCCTTCACAATTTCACATGCGAACGGGCTGGAAACGCGCATGATTTGTGTTTTTTTTTGTGCTTTTTTTTGTGGTATGAATTGTGCTTTTTTTTGTGCTTTTTTTTGTGGTATGAATTGTGCTTTTTTTTGTGCTTTTTTTTGTGGTATGAATTGTGCTTTTTTTTGTGCTTTTTTTTGTGGTATGAATTGTGCTTTTTTTTGTGCTTTTTTTTGTGGTATGAATTGTGTTTTTTTTGTGGTATGAATTGTGCTTTTTTTTGTGCTTTTTTTTGTGGTATGAATTGTGCTTTTTTTTGTGCTTTTTTTTGTGGTATGAATTGTGCTTTTTTTTGTGCTTTTTTTTGTGGTATGAATTGTGTTTTTTTTTGTGCTTTTTTTTGTGGTATGAATTGTGCTTTTTTTTGTGGTATGAATTGTGCTTTTTTTTGTGCTTTTTTTTGTGGTATGAATTGTGCTTTTTTTTGTGCTTTTTTTTGTGGTATGAATTGTGCTTTTTTTTGTGCTCGGGAGCGCCGGAAAAGCACAAAAAAAAGCACAAAAAAGCACAAAAAAAGCACGAAAAAAGCACGAAAAAAGCACAATTTCTCTGGAAAAAATGAATCTCAGGCCACCTGGCCTCGACAGCCTGCGGACCAGCGGCCCGGCAAATGTCTCATACCATTTCCTTTTTTCCGACCTCCTTTCCAAAAAAAACTCTCAAGAGTGAGCCCGTGCCAGGAGCGGGAATGTGAAAAAAATGTAATTATCATATGATGTTTATTAAGAACCTCAACAACTGTTGTTGGAGGCACGCCTTTGTAACGCTTTTCACTTATAACTTACAATGGTTGGACCGTTTGATTGCAGTATCTCGGTATCTCAGGTATGCTGCATTCAATATTGCAAAGAATGTCATGAGTCATAGTATCGTATCATCATATCGATGCAACACCTTGCATCATCATACCATATTATTGCCATTGCTATTTGACACACAAATATTCAGATAAACAAAAGCATGTCAGCTGTCAGACTTCCCAGAACCATTCCAACGTTCCAACCATCAAAGGATATCAACAGCAACATCGATACTTTGATTTTTTGGCTAGTTGATGACAAGTTCAGCAAACATGTCCTGATGGCTCCAACAATATGGCGCAATACAAAAGGATGTTCGTTAAAATGATTTAAATGGTTTAACCACAAACAATGCCACCTGAAAGGTAGTGATGTTGTTGCATTCACTACTCCACCCTTTGTTACTTGTACGGCCCACCTAGATCACATCTTCTCCTAAGCAGACCCTAAGGATCCCCTAGAATGGCCTGAGTTACCACCAATATGATTGTGCTTTTTTGGTATGTGGTTTATGAAAGGGGGGCAGTTTTGAACTGTTAGTGGGCGGGGGCAGACCTCAATATATATATATACACGTCCACAATGAAGGATAACCCCACCACCACATCACTATAGATGCTTAATCTTGGAGGAATCATCCCAGAAGCGCCTTATCCATCTCAGTCAGCAGATCTGAAGATTTGCTATGGAAAATCACCATGTTTGATGGGAAAATCAACTATTTCTAGGTGCCGTTTTCAATAGCGAACTGTGAACCAGAGGGTAAGCATAAAATGACGGGAAACACATCTTGACATTTGGGAATACAGACAATAGATGATGATTAGTTTTATTCGTGTGTCTTTTTAATAAGTGATCAAGGTCAGTTAATGCTCAATTTTCATGGGACAACGGTGATCATGATTGCAAACAACGATGCGCCGGGCACTGGGTAGGGTTGGCCAATGGACACTTCAATGACCCAAATATGGTGACACACAACTGTTACAATTGGTCGTACGGCGTACATCCCAATCATGATGTGTTGGAAAAGGTGTTGGTTAAAAAATCCCATGAAGTTCAGACACTCGACATGGTCATTTTGGTCAAATCTTCATATTTAAGTTGCTGTGGTATTCCACCGAACAATTCGATCATTTCTTGAAATTTCTTGATTTACACTCGGAGTGCTTCAGGTCGAATTCTCCTATAATAGGTTTCTTTAGATAACTTTAGATCGTTTGGTTTGGTTTTGACATGTGAAAAAACTCACAGTTTGATCCCATTGTCCCCATTTTGTCCCGACTTCGATGCCCCAGGGTAGCGCAGCACAAGCTCAGGCCATGGGGATCTAAATGGGAGGGGATCTAAATAGTTTAATATGGATATAATACCCTCTGGTAAACTGTTAAACATAGAAAAAACTATGGAAAATCACCATTTTTGATGGGAAAATCAACATATAATAAACTGGTTGGTGGTTTGGAACATGAATTGTGTTTTTCCATCTAGTAAACTGTTACATAACCATGGAAAATCACGATGCTATTAATGGGAAAATCAACTGTTTCGACTGGGCCATGTTCCAGTTCGCAAACGGTGAGTTTACCAGGCCGGGTTTCTATCTACCACCATATGGCCAGTGGTAGCCTGGTACTTTGATATGGAGATTTTTCATGGGAAAATCAACGGATTCATAAATGGCTAGATGGGAAATCCATCCGAACCATTTATGGAGCTTTACAGTTGGGACGATGGCCATGATATCCATAATCTGGGGGTGTTTTGGATCGCCATGTTTGGTTAAACCTTAGGAACAAACCTTAGTCATGTTCCTATCCGCTGGCAGCCCAAGATAGATGGAACATGATGGAACATTCAACAAAACGTCTTCAGGAGTCTAGAAACCTTTGTCACTACCCTCTGCTTATGACTAACATAGCCATGGTATAGATGGCCCATAGAAATAGATGGTTTACCTATTAGAAATGGTGATTTTCCATGGCGAACTGTTAGTCATAACCAGATGGTAGTTCAATCAGCATAAGAATGATGTAATCCGTTCATTGATCATATCTCCAAGATGTTTCCGTGCTGCCCCGAGCCCTGGAATCTTGGTGAATGTTTTTGGGGGAATCATCCCCAAAGAGCAAAATCTGGGTCGTGAAATATGATAATAAAAACTCAGATTGGTACCCTCTGGTAATTTAACATAGCTATGGAAAATCACCATTTTTAATGGGAAAATCCACTATTTCTATGGCCATTTTCAATAGCTTTTTGTATGTTTACTCAGATTGGTACCCTAATTTTGACTCATCCTATCTCATCCTGATCTCGCCAACTTTGTGCAGGCAAGTGGGTGCTGCGGCCAAACGCGGTGCGTAGCTCTGAAAAAACCTGGCCGGCGCGGTGGACGTGGCCTGGTCTGGATGACCATTCAAGATGAGTTAACCTGAATTTAAAGGTGCAGCACATGTGAAAAAATAGCCATCAAAAATGGGAAGATCATGAGAAGGTCAAGCAGGAAACACCAGGAATTAATCGCGGAAAGTTCTGTCCATCGGGGGTATGAAATATCTGGAGGTTACTAAGTCTATCACGAGTGGAGACCACCCTTTAACAGCGCTTGTTCAGAGCTTGTTTTCTCGGGAAAGTCAGATGGAGATGATTAATTAGTGAAGAATGCACCAGACCATACCACTACCTGTAGCAACGGTTTCACTTGTAATTTTCAAGGCAAGCTGGTCGGTGCTTTTAAAAAAGCTGTGCTGCGATGCCTCAAAGTGGAGGATGGATTACGACATCCAAGCGAGGAGGATGATCCCCGTACTCCGTACTCATTGACCAACATTTTCAGATTTGGAACCACCGACCAACCAGGGGTCATTGCCGAAGTGCAAGACAGACTTGCCATGAATTGCTGCATGTCCAGCGCAAAAAGAGGGCTACTTGGAGTCGGGGGGTCTTTGGCCAACACATTTGGAAAATCCAAGATGGATCAAAATATTTGAACATATTTGAACAATCACATTGTGACTTTAAAATTGTACATGTGAAGGTTTCTTAAGATGGGGATTCCCCAGTCACAACAGGTTTTAATATGTTTTAATACTAAAATTGTCTAATTTTGGATGATTTTGGGTAGGAAACCTCGATGTCATTGCTTCATTTTTGGAGGGCACTGGGAACATATCCATGCCCTCCTCCCGCTGGTGATTGCAATTTGGCCACTGCAGCCAAGTCATTGAGGCTGGTGTATAGCCACACATGTTGGATGCTTCTGACCAAAACTCCCTCAAGGTTTGTGGGATGATGTGCTGAAACGAGATTTCCGCATTTGACCGGTGCCCATTCTCTAGGGATTAAATCATGACTAACGACGATTAGCGTGGTAAACCCAATAGTAAGCCATCAGCAACGGTGGGTTCACTATTGGGTTTACGATATGAATCATGGGAGTTAGTAGAGAACATGTAGGGTAGCAACTTTAAAAAACACGAAGCCTCTGTACAAAACCACCACGCAGGTGCTATGTAAAGTTGGTGGAACAAGGGAAGGCCCTGGGCCGTGGCTGTGGAGTTCAGGAACAGGTGTTGCTACCAACATGGCCCAAAAAAAAAAATATTTGCCATGGTCAAAACCTTGATTATATAATTATACCCAGACAAGGAGAAAACTGATGGTCATTCCCCATTCATGGGGGTTTACGTCCATTGGAAGGGATCCCTAGCAATGGCGGGATGACTATGACTACTATACCCTAGAAACCATGTTTTTTTTTGTGTTTAGACCATGGCATACATGTACACATGTGATAAGGGGAGAAGATCTCACAAGATTATACAAGGAACCAACAAGTGATTATGAACTGAGAGCATACACCAAAATGATCAATGAGAGATGAAGCGACTGAATGATGATTTATATCGTATGCAACAAAAACAGACCAGGTGTGTAGAGTCTCATCTTACAAACAACTTCCGCCATTCGCTCAGCTTTCCCTCGATGTGCACAGTTTTCCCGCTTGTTGATGGCCAAAGTCGCGGGTTTCTCTCTATTTATCCTCTAGATGGTAGTCATATTAATAGTCATATGCATGTCATATCCACGTCATATCCATGTCATATCCATGTCATATGCATGTCATATCCATGTCATAACCATGTCATATCCATGTCATGCCCATGTCATATCCATGTCATATTCATGTCATATTCATGTCATTTGCATGTCATATCCATGTCATTTGCATGTCATATCCATGTCATATGCATGTCATATCCATGGCATATGCATGTCATAACCATGTCATATCCATGTCATATCCATGTCATTTGCATGTCATATCCATGTCATATCCATGTCATATGCATGTCATATGCATGTCATATGCATGTCATATCCATGTCATATCCATGTCATATTCATGTCATATCCATGTCATATGCATGTCATATGCATGTCATATGCATGTCAAATCCATGTAATATCCATGTCATATGCATGTCAGATCCATGTCATATCCATGATTCCCATGTTTGTAAAGAATTCCAACTTTGGTTGATGAAATCCCCATAGCAGGCCCCCTCAGCCGGGCTAGGCAGTGTTGTTGAAAAGTTTGACCGCTGAAGCAGCGCAAAGGGTAACTTGGACCATCTGTGGCTACCCCTCGTTTGTGTCAAACATGGCTGGGAAAACGCCTTTTTCTTTTTTTTCTGATTTTGTGCATTCCAAAATCATCAAATGGAAAATGTTCCAGCAAGCCATGTTTGGTGACACCAGTGGTTCATGCCATGAAAATGTTCCAGCAAGCCGTGAAAATCAGATGGTTTTGGTGTGTCTATGTTGGTTGGTGTTCTAGGTGAACCAACCAGCCAGCGGTGGATTGCAAAGACGGCTAAGGGCCAATTGGAGGTTTCCTGAAATGGGGGACCCTAAAATCATCCAAGTGATTGTTGATATTGGTGATTTTTCATGGGGAAAGCAGTGGTTTCGGGCAAAATGCTTCGGAGAAACACACAATGTTATTCGCGGAACATCCCAAGAAGTGCCATTTTTGTACAACATATATACATGTTACAACATTTTAGCGAATGATGAGTTACACATTTAAACGCGTTGAACGTGTCCAGCTGTGTCCATGTGGGCCCCTCAGAAACTCCCTGAGGCCTTGGACCAACTCACTGCTTCAGGCTTTGTGGCCAAGGCTCTGCTTGCTCGTTACGATTGGGAGACATTTGGGGATGGATCAATACCTATTGATACCATTTTTAGAGGGATGAACATCCTTCACCAGGGGTACAAGGTTTTGACACACTGACATTTAAATTGGGATAATTGGGACTATAATAGGCTTACCCTCTGGTTATTTAACATAGCCATGGGAAATGGCCCATTTATAGATGGTTTACCGTTCTTAAAAATGGTGATTGTCCATGGCTATGTTAAATAACCAGATGGTAGATATATAATTGTTACCAATTAGATAATTAATTATAGAGTACATAATCAAATCTACTTTAAGTATCATATTGTACCAATATTGGGACTTGTACACCCATTGGATTATAATAGGATTGTATACTCTTTGTTGGAGGATGGTTATCAATAGATGTATAATGATGTATACACCATTATAAACCCATTCGTCAGGATTTCCAAAATGAGATGGATGACCGTAAACTATATACCATATTTTGACAATGGCACACATATATAGAATCTTAATTTTGAACATGCATATTTTTTTCATATGTCATCTTAAATTCCACCTACATGGGCTCTAAATATTCGTATTCATTTTTAAGCGTTGCCAAAATTTCATGATCCTCACTTCCAGTGCATTTCAGCTCATGTCAATGCTAAAAGAAAAAAAACTAGTAATATATTAACATATACTAACATTTACTAACACATATACGTATATGTACTATGACATCTACTAACTACCAATTTTTACTCCATAATTCTCCAATCTTTTCCGTCAACCTGGCTCAGGTGGAGCCAATGCCGGACAAAGCAGCTTGACATTGGCGAGACTAATGTAATTCATATTACAAACAATATTAATATGTAAACTAATAGTAAACCATTCCAGTCATCATCATTTTTATAGGTGGTCTGTTTACCATTCCCAAATGGTTTATTATTGATTTACCTACATGATATTTAGTTAAATGTTGGATATAATCAATTTATATCAGTTTATTCAATTAAACTTGTTTTTTAAATATATAAGCATTTGTCAAACATAGTTATCAGATGTCTTGTTCCAGTGGTTGATAATTTATGTTGATCTAGTGTTTTTTCCTGCTTGTTATGAGGCGGCACGTACCTAAATTCACCAATTTTGCAAGGTAGTGCTAGCAAACCCGCTAGGTTTGCGCTAACCCTTTTAGTGTGCCATTCCTGAATGCTTGTTATTTCAACATGCAATTATTCTTCATTGGGTACGTGTCTGAATCGATTTTATTCTTTGAAGCCAAATCCAAACGATTCCAAACGTTGTTCCTAGCATTGTTTGCAGCAGAGCCCATGAAGAAAAAAATTAGTAATTAAAATATCGTATTGGACCCCTTAAAAACAAATATAATTTATTGAATTTCTGTACCATTTAACCATTTTTCTAAATTTTTATTATTATTTAATTAAGATTATTATTTTAATAAATTTATAAATATATAATTTTATTGGAAAATATTTAATTATTAATATATTAATTATAATAAAAAAATATTGAATTAAATATCCGAAATAATTTAAAAATTTGTTATT